AAGTTCTCAAGATATCTCGAACACTTAAATCAAACAAAGTATTAGAATACTGACTGGGGAAGCCGTCGCTATAATATTATTAAGGTATTCGGTCTCGGTGTCCTGGTACTCTGATGTCAGCAGCTATTTTTAAATGCGTTTGCCGATTATTACCAATATAAGCGGATATATAGAAATAGCTTTAGAACAATAATAAGCGGATAAGTTAGTTTTATAAACAAATCTTTTTCGAGGTCAAAGAATATAATAAACTAACGTAATGAATATTTTTTGGGATACAAAAAAAAACGCAATACAACTGCACAACTGATACTAATTTTTTTAATAGGATTCCTCATTCAACAAAGAAAATGTGCTTATTCTCAAGATTATCAAATTCAGAAAATATCACATTTCTGTAAACACATTTCAGTGAGTGTGAGAGCCATTAACGAATGTAAACATTAAACAAATCAGGAATTATTGATGAATTTAAAACAGTATTTATTTTTTAATCAACTTTAAAAGCGAATAAGTTTCTTGGTTCTCGATACTTCAGGAACAAATCAGGAATCATTGATGAATATAAAACAGTATTTATTTTTAATCAGCATTAAAAGCGAATAGGGTTCTCGGTATTACTCGAAAAATTCTCCATTCTAAAGCCACGTATCCATTTCACGTGGCTGCCGCGCGCGGCCTAGCTCACGTTCAATAATTATAACAGTTTTGCAAACGCTTTATGGCTTTGCCTCGCGTAACAGTGTGATGTCCACTTTCGGCGGTAACGACAACGAACATGACGCGCGTGGTAGCCTCGCGAAATGGATACGTGGCTTTAGAAATTATACCCATCACTAGATTATACAGTCGAACCCGCTTATTAGAAGAAGATTACTGGTTATTTAGGAATATCCTGGTTTAAGGAACAGAAATTTAAGGTCCCGAAACGATTCTACTAGCCACCAATGGTCGGTTGTTAGAAAATCCCGATTATAGGAATACTTTTGCTTGGCACGACGGCTATTTCAATATAGGGGTTCGACTATACCTAAATCTGACCTGCGGTACGGGCCTGGCAAAAGAACGAACTTACCTCTCTTTTTTCGCCTTGTTAGCCTTCCAGTTTTGTGGCTGTGCAATCCGTTTTCGTGCCTGGTTTTGATTAACGGGCATAGGAAAAACATCCATCTTGACAAAAAACTATAGATTTCACTTGAAATCACAGGAATTCTTATTTAAAATGCGAAAAACTGACACCGTAACAACACATAAATTATATTAGCGGCCATTACAGATTTGGTTCGAATGAAGAGCTCCTATTGGCTGGCGTGCGCGTAGCTATGTTTGATACTGAGTTTATGTGGACGTAACCAAGTTTGTTTCTAACCAATTTTTTTTAATCAAAATTTCTCTGGACTGAGCTAAATTTAATCCCAAACTATTTCTTTAGGTAATAGGCTGTCTCAAAATGAAAATGTTGCCATCAAAATGTCAATTTCTAAAAATTATGGACATAGCCATTTTTGATACTATACCCCTGACATACGTTAATATGCTCATAGCTTCTCCATAGATTCTAACTCGATGGTTTAAATTCATCTATCAAAAACAGGTGAATTTTAAAGTTACCATGGCAACATCAACAGTTTTAAATATTGATCTGATCTGACAGCATACCTTGTAACGTCAAATAAATAAACAATATTACTAACAAATATTTCAAAAGCTTTATTCAAATATTTGAAAATCTTAATCTTTTAAATGAATGTAAAAAATACAGTTGGTATTGTTTGAAATATTTATACTTCGGTTTTTTAAATCAGAGGCATACTAGGCATTATCAGGCAGAGAATACTACCGACATTCTCGGAAGAGAATGGGATTGTACTTCCATTAATGGCACTCCCAATAATGTTTGAAATATTCTTCTTATTGGTAATACTCTCTTCAACGTAACCAGTCGCCACAGCTGTCGATTTCCATCCTACCTGTCGTTGGATTTGATCTATTGTGATGCCACTGTTCGCCATAACTGTAGCGGACGAACGTCGAAACGCATGTCCCGTGTATTTCTCAGGATCGTCCAATTTAAGATAACGGCAATTTTCAAGGGACATGATCCAAATGTATTAATATCAACTACATGATTAGTGCACTTTCCTTTATCATACCGTATGAAAACTCCATCTGTACTTACATTTTTGGGATGCAATAATAAATACTTCTTCACCAAACGCACATAATTAATTGCATAGCTATCAGCAACTGTAAAACGTCGAGCCATCACAGTCTTAGATGGTCGGATAGTAATAAGCAATACGCTTCCTTCTTCCTTGATGTCATGTAAGCGTAAATCGCACAATTCACATCTTCTGCAAGAGCCAAAGATACCGCAAATGGCTACCACCTTCAAAAATAAATACGTAATGTCCGGAGCATCTGTGAAAACTTCCGCAAATCGTCTTTCTTGAATACATACGCCTTCTTGGCCACGTCATTCTTGCTAATTGCCTTCATGAATGCATGCACTTTCACAAATGATTTTAAATCGACCTCTTTGTTTATCCTCAACATACTTTGCAATTTCGAATGGATAGCCCACATAGTCGACTGCTTGTACTGTTCCGACATTTTCTGAAGGCAAGCAAGCACAACTCGTTCATCTTACTTACCTTATCGTGCCCGGACATGTCATTCATAAAATTTCGGCATAGTATCGGACTACGTCAGTTCCATTTTTGTTGGCGAGCCACAAATCTTTCTTTGCGCGAAGGTGAAAAGCGCAGACTTGGGTTTTAGAGGGATTGGATCTCAGAGAATTCTGTTCTTCTTCAAAACTATTTCCTTGAGCACATATTGCAAGATTGTCAACATAGAGGAAGTGCTTGGTTTCTGTCGGCGTAGGTTGGTCGTTTGTGTATATATTGAAGAGCATTGGTGCTAAAACACTTCCCTGTGGGAGGCCGTTTTTTTGAACTCTCCACCTACTTACTTTACCCTCCAGCATAACGAAAAAACGTCTGTTTTGAAGTAAGGAATATACGACTTTATCCAGATGTTGGTCATTGAGAGTGTCGTATCATTTGCGGAGCAATGTTTTGTGCCTTATTGTGTCATAGGCTTCTGTCAAATTTACGAAAGCAGCCTCTGTTATAAGTTTTTCTTCAAAGCCCTTGTCGACATTTTTTTCTTTTCTGACACAACAGCAAAATAAGTCTCTAGCTACTGGGATTTTCTGGGTCCTTTCCTGGTTTTAACAAGGCTATTACTTTAGATTTCCTCCATGATTTTGGAATTTCGCAGGCTTTGCAGCACGTGTTATAAAGTTGCAAGATCCAGTTTTTTGCTCCTTGGCCTAGATGCTTTATTTGTTCACTGCATATATCATCCACACCTGCAGCTTTCCCGTTTTTTAACCTGTTCATACCGTCGTGGAGTTCTTTTAGTGTAAAAGGAGTTCCTAGGTGGTTTGTCTCCGAATCCAATCTTCTTCTAGTATTTGGGTCCTTATATCGGTTCGTAGTTCTTCCATTCATAAGGAGTTGAGCAGCGACTTGGTTTGCTGTAACCTTGCAAGGTGGTTTATGTTCTTTTGGATCACCGCTAAGTTTTTTTACAAGGTTCCATGTTATTTTGCTACTATGTGTCATGTCCATTTTTTCCAGGGTCTCAATCCACTTTACCTGTCCGGCTTGACTTAGCTGTTGGAGTAGTACTGCTCCGCAGTCAACCGTTTCTTGGCTAAAAGGGTCAGTGGAATAGTGGGTTTCGTATGTTCTCATTAGTTCTTTGGACTCGCTGGACATCCCGGGAACATATTGTTGTATACATCCTCTGGGATATGCTTTTCTAGACACATTTTTGAGTACCTCTACAAATATTTTGTAGTTCTCTACTTTTGGTTCAAGACGTAGCAGCTCAGAATCTAGCATGTCTGCATACTTTTGCCAGTTTGCCTTTTTGAAGTTAAATCTCCTGAATGGAATAGCTTGTGGTCTGATAATTGGAAAGATATTTATACCAATTGGTCTATGCTGAGTTTTTGGTATGAGGCCATATACTACCTTGGTACATCGGTCTTCCAGGTTATTACTTGAAAAACATATATCCGGGTTATATCCTCTTTTACAAACTTTGCTCTGAAAAGATGGAGGAAGTTTAGGATCATGGATTAACGTGAAGTCACTCGTTTCGGCCCATGTTTCTAGTGTTTCTCCATTTTCGTCCGAATCTGCATAGCTCCAGAGTAAACTGTGACTGTTAAAGTCTCAGTACAAGCTGATTGGGTTGTGATTGGAAGTTGGTTGGGGGTGAAAACATAAAAGGCTTGTATACCGAGGTTATAGTGCATTTTCCGATCTCAGTTCTCATCCATCTGTATCTGTTACCTTTTGCTCTTCCGTCCATTTAATGAACTTGTCGTATTCTTTTTTATAAGCGTCTTCGATTTCGCGTATTACCGCAGTCTGTTACTATTTAAGTAATCATGTTAACTATTTTAGCATATACATAATAACAATGTGATGTGATAGATTGCAAATTTATTTTTGTTTTTCTCATTTCCATAATAACGAAAGGTATACTGATGAACATCACAAATTCAACCATTTTACATTATTAGGTCTTATTTTAATTTTTTGTAGTAATAATACATGATTTCAAAGTGTACCAATAAAAAAAGCGTTTAAAGTATTCATGGATAATTGGTCTTTAAAACACTTGCTCTGGAAAAATCGCGCGTGTTTTAAAGACCTCAATATCCACTTATACTTTGATATACTATATAATACATATATATATATATATATATATATATATATATCTATATATATATATATATATAACAGAAATCTCAAAAATACATACAAAAATTATGTCAAAAATAATATTTTGAGACAATTTAAATGTATTTACAACAGTCATTAAGTATATCTTAAAATGACTTTCATTATTATATTGATTTAATTTCTTGTATGACTTGTATAAAAAAGGTAAATAATTATTAAATAATTCCTTACTTGTAGATGTTTTCTTCTGCTGAACAGTATTGGTGGGGGTGGTAGCTGGGACTTGGCTCCTAAGAACATGCTCTACTGGTATGGCATCATTACTTTCTGCACCTGTATAGGTATCATGCCTTGTTCTTCTAGCACGCTTGGCAGGTCTATCATTATTCACAGAATTGCTGTTATTATTGTTAGTGCTGGTGTTGTTACCATTATTATTGTTGATAGGGGTGTTAACTAGGGGAGATTGTTGTTCCTTTATCTCAATTTGTGTCTGTTCTTCTTTACCAAAATCTGATAAACAAATAAAACTTTACAAATATGTCAAATTTAGTAATTAATATTGATATTACCAAATAGTTACAGAAGTATATACACACTTCAGTACCTGATAATTGACTTTTAAAATAAAATAATAAGAATCCTACTTATTACTACTTCAAATAGATATTCTATAGCATGCTTTCTGAAGAAGCGATAAATCCAAAAGGATGAATATAAGTTGACTCCTGTATATTAAGAAACACATAGTACTTCAGATTACATTGTGATATTAGCAACCAATAAGAACCTCAAAAAATTAGACACAATTATATATTAATTAAATTAAATTACAATACTGGGAGTGGTCAGAAAATGAATATAAGAAATGAAAATAATTGTCAAAACTTTAAGGTAGGTATTATTGAGAGTATTAATAGCAAAAGAAGCATCTATGTAGATTTTGTAGAAGTTATTAATCAAGAAGTACACTGTTGTTAGTTGATAACAGATTATCATTTTAGTTGCCATTACCAAACTCAACAAGTTGATCCCAATGACTAAACATTAATATTTAATTAATATCTATATTTAAATAGACATTTTCAAAGATGTTTGTACTGATATGAATACTTTTTCCCACCAGAAGGTAGGACACCTTCTGGTGGGACACCTAATATGCAGCACCAAAATGTTTCACAACTTTGGAGTAACATAGCTTGTAACCCAGAAATATTAATCAGTTCAAATATATGGATGAATCAGGACGAAGTTACGTGGTTTAGATCTGAATTCAATAACTACTTCTGATATTTTTTGGGTTCATTCTGAGGAGCCCATAACAGCATAAAAGCCTAGATCTAATTGTTGATGAATTGAAAGCTTTTATTAGAATCGTCATAATAATGGGTCTTAACACTGAACTACAGTTATGAAACTATTGGTCTAATGATCTGAATTTTTACAATTCAAAGATAGCTCAAGTGTTTGCTAAAAAAAGCAATTTATTAAAAATTTATTCATTTGAATGATAATACACAAATGCCAGCACAGGGGATTGCCCAATTTGACACACATATAAAGTTAGACCAATGTTAAATCACTTCAGTGAAGTTTTTCCAAATGCATTCACACCCAGAGATAAGTCCATACATGAAAATATCATAGATGAAGAAATAGCATCCATAGATGAAAATATGGTTTCATTCAAAGGTAGAACGACTCTACAACGATATATGCTGATGAAACCTGTAAAGAGGGGCATTAACTTGTTCTGTCACATGTTATTTATACACCTTTGATGTTTATCAAGGAAAAGAACAAACTGCTAGCAGAAAAACATTAGGTGGACTGATAGTGCTTAAATTTTCACAACAATTATGCAACAAGTGTATGTATTTTGACAATTTTTTTACAATACCCCTGATGGATATGCTTCAGGAAAGGAGATTATTTGGATGTGGGACTATTCATGTGCATCAAAGATTTTTCACAAAATAATCATTAAAATTGGACAAAATAATGTCAATGAGGGAGATTGACTTTGTAACATGCAAAGAAATCTCTGTTGCCAAATGGAGTGGCAGTGATAAAAATGCTGTAACAGTGTGTAGTAATATGCATATAGCCAATGAAAATGGACAATTTCAACAGACTAATAGTGCTGGTGAAAAAGATAATGTGATATTTCCAACATGAGAGACTACAGTATTAAATGGAAATGTAGGCGGGTTTTTAAGCTTTTTACTACATTTTAGATGCTTCGAGTGCTTAAATTCTTATATTCCATATAAAGAAACAGTAAAAGTAAAATATCGCTGAAAAAACTGATCATGTCATTTGCACTTTAGAAGTAAATTAGCTAACCAATTGATTATTAATTTTAGCAGAAAGAAACCTACGGTAGTAGGTCCACAGGTAGCAGGTAATGCGGTCAAAGGGGTGTTCAGAAAAAAAGTACCATAATGTGTATTAAGTGTGACATGGCCTTGTGCATAGAGTGTTTTATTCCTCATCACAAAAATTAACTATTTTATCTTTGATTCATATAAAATATTCTTCAGTTTATTGAAGTATTTACATTTTGATTATAAATTACTACGAGCAGAACAGTTCAACCAGAGAACAAATAGGAAATATTTTTCTTGAAATGTTCTATGGCAAAACGGTTTACCACCATTTTTTAAAAATTAGAAATAAAATTTATAGAAGAAAATGTCACGTTTGTGTTACTAAAACAGTCAAAAATTGATTGTAAATATACTCCACCAAAAAAATATTGCATCACTTATAAAATTACAAATATTTCAATTTGGTTAATTTCAATTATTTCTTTCTGGTCCTTAAGAATATTAAGGCTAGAATAAATATTAAAAAGAAATTTGTAAATACAGCTTACTGTTTAAGAAAAAAAAATGTTAATTGCTATTTTGTCTAGTTTTTATATTATCAGTCTTTTATTTTACTTTTGTAAAAAGTATACACTTTGCGTTTATATTAAAATTTCGTATTAAATATTGAGTATGGAAGGTTGTGACAATATAAATTTTAGTTTAACGAGAGATCAAGTGGTTAGAATAATTTCCCTCATTGAAGACGAAGGAGTCTTCAAAGGAGGAGTCAAATTTAGTGGGTGTAAATCAGTTGACAGTATCAGGAGTGGTAGTAAGGTACTGAGAGACTGGTCTTTATGAAACATTATGTAACAGGTCGGCCAAGAGCAACTATGCCTGTAGACAATAGATTTTTAGTCCTTCGGGCTTTGCGTCAAGACATGTAACTGCAAGTCAACTTCAACATGGCTTAGCCGAGACTCGAAATGTATGTGTGTCTTCAGAAACTGTTAGGCACATCTTAAGACAGTCTGGAATTAGGCCGTAGTAGCTGCCACTGCCCCGAGGCTTACAAGAGAACACTGTATAACATGTCTAACATTTACAAGAGAGCACATAAACTGGAATATTGACGACTGGGGTTACATACTCTTTACGGATGAGTCAAGATTTTGTTTTACACTTCAGATCGAAGAATACCTGTTTATAGATGACATGGCGAGCGTTATTTTCAATGCAACCTAAGACCGGCGACAAACTTTGGAGGGATCTATTATGCTCTGGGGCGGAATATCTCTTAGGGGTCAAACAGAATTGGTACAGCTAGATGGAGGATCCTTAACTGCTGATAGGTACATTAGAGAAATTTTGGAGATGCATGTTGTTCCTTACGCCCCATTTATTGGTAATGACTTTGTTTTAATGCATGACAATGCACACCCACATGTCACAAGAATTGTTACTGAGTACCTTCAAGAGGTAAATTTACAAGTTTTGAATTGGCCAGCGCACAGCCCGGACTTAAATCCAATAGAACATGTTTGGGACCATCTTTACAGAAGGGTGAGATCTGGTAATGTGACTCCAGCTAATCTTCAGGACCTGCAACAGTTGTTAACTGTTGAATGGGATAATATCGATCAAGATTATCTAAGAAGATTAATTGGAAGTATGCCACAATGTTGTATAGATGTTATAAGAGCTAGAGGAGGCAATACATCTTACTAAATTATCATTACTTTTGATTTTTATTTTTTTATTATTCAATGCTGTTTGTGCACTTCTAATTTATGAGATAAATTAAATAAAACCTTTGTTTTTCGTACATTCTGCATTTTCTTTTAATACTTGTTACATACTTAAAAAACAAAAAAAAAACAACAGTAAAAAATTCATGGTTTAAATTATTTTTAATACAAAATTTGCAGTTTCATAGGTGACGCGATACTTTTTTGACAGAGTGTATTTTTTAAATAAAAATATTGTGAAACAAATTTGTGTGATAAGGGTTACGAGGAAAATGCACCCATTCCAGATACCTAGTTTGGGATACTTTCAATGTTATTGAACCCAATGTGACTTGATATTATTATCAAAAATGTAAAATTAGTCAGTTTTGGCAATACAGTTTAAAATAGATCTGTTATTATACAAAGGAAATTGTAAAATTTATATTAGTAGAATGTAATGCTTTCTTGTTAAAGCTGTGGACATTTATTTGTGTTTGTGTTTATTTATGAATTCTTGTATAGAATAGATTTTATGAATTTTTAGACTGCGCCACTATTTTTTTTGGTAATTGTATAATATATCAGGACTTTTATTAATAGTAAATATTTTTTTAGTTTATAAGTTTTTTTTTTCATAAAAAAATTGTTAAATATATTTGGCAAGTAAATAATATTTAGCATATATTTATGATTCTATCAGGTGATCTGAATTATATTTGGATGGCATATATGTAAGCCACATAGCACCTTCACCAATGTGTGACTGGCTTACATATATATTTACGGGTATAAGCACTTCTAAGATGCGTCAGTTCCGAGGATAAGTTGTAGCTCATATATCTGCATGCAAGATGTTAAGAAGATACCGAAATATTGGTGTCTTTCCAGTGAGTTTTGTAGTTCAGAATATCTAGTGAGTTTTCATCTAGTTTCAAGTCAAATTTAACATCCCTCAACTTGTTTTTCATTTGCTTGCTAAATATTACTTAGTGGTTTTTTGAAACATTTAGAGGTAAAATGGCTTTCTTTGAAAATCCCATGCTTTGATACATTTTTTTTATACAAATTTTGAGTATGTCTATATGGCTGACATAATATATTTATTTTTTTATTTTTCAGGGTTGGGGACCAGAGAAGCTCTCTTTAACCTTTCAGTGCTATTACAAAAATGCAGAGATCAGACAAAAGATGTTTATTTGTGTTTCAGAGATTATGAAAATGCTTTCAACCAAGTGAAACACACCAAACTCATTAACCTACTTACTAAACAATAGTTAGACCATATATATAATGACCCTATATAATATCATCAATATATTAACAAAAAAAAACCTAAAAACCTGTATTGGACATTGATAATCCTAGTCAAAATAGATGAAAACCTGTCCAGTAATGCCCCCATAACAAGAGAAGTATGCCAGGGGTGTGTTCTGTCACATCTTCTCTTCAATCTTTATTCTAAAGAAGTATTCCAAAACACACTGGAAAACATTCAAGAAGACATTAAAGTTAAGAGAAGACTGATCAAACAATATAAGATATGCCGATGATACTTATGGACTTGGGAAGGACTTCAATGACTGCTAGATGGAGTAGTAGAATAAGGTGAATCCTTTGGTCTTAAAATCAACACCAGTAAAACAAAAGAAATGGTAGTAAGTAAATGTCCAAATATACAAGCCAACAAAATTCATAACACTCTCATAAGAAATTTGAGGTTGAAATATGAGTTAAAATTGAATATTCAAGATCTACATTCCTTAAAATGAAACACCTTTTAACTAATATACAATTCTTTCACTGTGTACTAGATATCTATTTGTGAATACATATATTCTATTCTCTTATATTGTGTGGAGGCATGGACAAACAACCTAAGTACTATGAGAAGGTTGGAGGCTCTCAAGATATGGGTGTTTAGAAGACTTCTGAAAATATCATGGACAAACCATGTTAATAATGAGGCAGTATTGTGCAAAATGGGCCATATTAGAGAACTTTTTAACATTTAAAGTAGCACAAAACCAGTTATCTAGGACATGTGTACAGAGGAAGACATAAGCTGGGGTCCAGATGGGAGTAAATGTTCATTGTTGAATAACATCAGAGAGTAGTTCTGTCCCAATACTCAATACTTATTGAGAGCCATGCAGGATAGAGAAAGATTGCCAATCTTCAGAAATAAAGAGGGCACTCCAAGAAGAAGTCTGAAATGTTAAAAAACTTGTAAATTAAATAAAAGATTCATTAAAAATTATCTTTTGATTTGTTTCCATGACAATGAGAGTCATAGACAATGAAAAACTTCAAAAGAACAGCTTCCATCACACACTCACAGGCTTTTATAGAAAAAATTGTTTATGTATACAAAGAATAAAACCTTCATGACAATTAGATGGGTGTTAAAAATGAAATACACCAAATCATAATACATCTAATGAACATAATATTATCTAATGAACAACTTAACAAAGATGTAATTTTACTGGCTCTTACTTTAGGAATAAGTAACTATCAGACTTAACTGTTGGGGCAATTGTTTATAGATATTTAAAATATTGTTCCACAATGGATATTTGCAATTGGAGATGTAATAAACTTTTTTGCATACTCAAAATATTTTGAAATTGTTTAGAAAGAATATTTAAAAATATCTTTTAATATATATTTTAGTTTATGAATATCTTGAAATACATTATTGCCATTTTTGATACAATGTTTAAGATATCCAAACTTTAATATCAATGATCTGAATAATTAAAATTGCATATTACTTACAAGGTTCTAGAATAAATGCATGCCAGATATAAAAAAAAAAGAAAAAATGCAAAAGCAAAAACATGGAAGCCACTTTCATTATAAAATACACCTTTTACAGTTAGAACAAAAGCTATACTTTTTATTTAAAAAAATGACAAATAAATGGATATTTTATTAAATTTTCATATCAACAGTAAGAAATTAGTAGTGTTAAAGGATTATAACCTAACTACTCTTTGATCACTACTAAATAACTCCCAAGTGGCAGAGCTTACCACACATAAACAAAGATATACTCTAATAAATATTGATTAAATGCTATAGTTACCTAAATTTTTTAGATCCTGGTCTAATAACCTAGTTTTAATTTCTATTTTATCCAAAATTGCCTGAAGGAGACTCATTTTTTCATCTCCTAATTCTTGGGCTGCTATTAAGGATTGTTGCATCCTTAAAAAACTTTTTGCTTTTTTTGCATGATTGTCATTGCCTATATTTTCTGTTTGAAGGGCCACTTCCCTTAGTCTAGCTATAAAAGAAATACAATGATAAAGTTATTACAAATTCAAAATATATGCATCAAAATTAATAAATAATATAAGCCTAAAATTCAAGATACTTCAAGGTTTTTTAGATTGGTTTTAGTTTTGTAATGGGATAGTTAATGCATTGCATACATATAAAAATGTTTGCTAATTATAAAAAAGTGATATATTTTTTATTCACATTGATCCAAATACCTATTATAAGGGTTCAGCATAAAAAAATGTACCAAACTAATTTGAAATAAATTCTGTTTACAAAAATAAACCGGGATGAAATAAAATCCAACTTATAGATTTACTAACAAAACTAATTTATTTATATAGTAGATATTTATACAGTAGATATTATAATATAAAAAAATTAGGATAGACAAAAATATCTGATACATTGAAACAAAGCAACTAAACTTATATTACAACTAACAAAACAGAAATAAAATAAACTGTGTATAGTCAGAATACTGGAGAAATAATGGGCTAATTAGAATGGACAGGATATCAAAGAATTCTATCCTAAGAAGTGGAAATTATGAAAGACACAATAAGTATCATTAAAAAGAAATGTGAATGAGGCATATGCTTAGATGAAATATAAAAAATCATAAAGTGAGTTTCACAGAAGGACAAAGCATTAAGGATCTAGATCTTGTATACATAAAGATGGATAATACAATGTCCAAGTCAAAGATTTATACCAGGGCGATGGGGACAAAAGATAAATGGAGAAAATGGCTGAGAAGATGAAAAACAGCCAGCTTTAAACATTCCCCAATGTATACATAACAAAAACTTCATACAAAATTGGTGAACTTAGCAAAAATAGTTAACATGAGATGGAAGTTAAGTTTTACAAAAAATCAAGTGAAGTTTTACCTAAATAAATAACATCCAATTCTCTCATTCTTGAAATCAGACGTTGAACCTCATCAGGGAGATTTTCTACACAGTCCAAATAATTTTCTACGTAAGTAGCTGAATAAACAGCTTCCACAGAGACTTGGTTCAACATATTTAGGAATAAATAAGTTTAAATAATTAAATGTCAGAAAAGTCTACATTTCAAAACTAAATAACGCCTGCCATTTTTTGATTAGATGTTTACTCTGTCGTCACGGTGACAATCATGTTCACCAACATAAATTCATAGAACACTTTTCTTAGGTTGACGGAACGAGAGTTTATTCTATACTTCTTTAGGTTCTGTGCTTTTCACAAGGTTCAAAAATTTTCGTCAGTAAATATTTTTTTTCAACTTGCCCGTTACCACCGTTACCACCTTTACCACAGAATGATAAACTATCAGAATGCCCACTCTGCTTGAAAAAATAAGTACGCGCATCTTGTTCGCGCAGACGGAATCAGCCATGTTTTAGTCGGAACCAGTGCTGTTCAGTGACATTTTATCTGATGTGCATAGACAACTTAACCCGGTTTAATTTATTTACGGCAACTACAGACATAATATGCACTATTTTATTCGTACTTTTAGTTGAAGAATAGATTAAATTATTTCAAATGTACTAAATTATTAATCTCTAAAAATTTAATTTACAGTTCTGTCGAAGTTTGTCGTAAATTTCTCAATTCGAGTCTATGTTTCCGTCATGGCGTTTGCATGCTGACAAACTTCAAAGGCGGCATCTGAGAGTGGGCATTGAGATTGTTATTTATTCTGTGCCTTCACTTAGCAACATTGTAATTAATTCAAAAACATAGTTTCGAAACTGCGAACAGTGGTCAAAAATAAGAGGTTTTTGTCTTAACTTTTGTAACTGCACCTGGGTTTTGTATTGTCCAGGTGAGTTAAGCAACGTTAAGCCTTCCTTACTGGCTGTAGAATGGCCTGGACGTGGTTTAAAGGCTGAGTTTAATTGGTCTTGGTTTGTAAAGTCGACTTTACATTAATATCATTATATTGGGCAATTTATTGCCAATGCTGTTGCTCTATGTTCCGTTTTATTTGCTGCATATTTGACATGTTCGCCAAATATCTGTTTATTGTCCAGCATTACCAGTAGGTATTTAACCTTTTTAGCCGGTATTATTTTTTCTCTCTCGAAAGTGAAGGATATGTGATCTCTGTTTTTAGATCTTTCTGGTATCAAAGCTTTAATTTTTTGTGAAGCGAGTGTCAACTCTTGGTTTTTCAACCACGTTTTCACGCTTTCCAGTGCAGCATTGGCTGAGTTCATTATAAGCCTGTTTTGATGGTGCTCTATTAGAACGACCAGGTTATCCTCGTAAGATATAAAAGCCTGCGTCCCTTTTTTTAAATCTTCCTCTAGTATTCTTACATTACATCCCATTCAGCCGTTTTCCCTCTCATGGTTGCCGTAGCTAGCATGACATCTATATAAGTACGGCTTTCTCCTCTAACAAAAGCTGGTTTGCCGTTGCTAAGGGCCGATAAATTAATTGCATGGATTAGCTCATTTCACATATCTCCTTCTGTCATCATTCCCATAGCACAGATTTCGCATTTATGTTACCCTCTTTTTTTCCTCTTGCATGACTGGCAATGTCTTCCCCGACTTTCCCGTATTTCCTTAGTGTGGTATTCGAGGAGATGTATGCCGACACCAGGACGAATATTCTGAGGTCCAGGACCACAAATTCCTCTTTTCTTGCAGGTTTTCTCTTTACTCCCCCATAGTTCGTTTACATCGCCAATCACAGTTGGTACATATATACATATAATATAACACAGTATTTGTTATATACTGTGATAAAATATATCACCCTGTATATATTCTTCACAAAATATGCAAAAATGTCAGTAGTTTTGACAGCACAAAACCATGGTACAATAAAATTCACATGGTATGGCACATAATGTTCCAAAATCGGTTCGCTTCGCGCACGACGTAGTCAAGATCCCCTCTTCGCGCAAATTTGAATGCAGTTGTATAGGAAAGACTTTTAATTTTAAATTTTTAATATAATTTGGCTAATTTATTTATAGTACTTATAAGGAAATGATAAAGTTGTGTTTTTATAATATTTAATCATAAAAAATAAGTTGTATCTAATTTAATTTTATTGATTTTTGGGTACAGATATTTTAGCGAGGTTCTGAAACTGTTATTTTATTTTGTTAACATAGGTATTCTTTATAAAACACGTTTTAATTATGTTTATTATACATACAGGTTGAACAACTGCTACTCTAGAGTTCCATATTTCAGTTGTTTAAAAAGATACAAAAAAAAATTATATAAAGAGTTTATATAAAGAGTTTTGGGTCTTCGCTAATCTACAAAATGGAATACATATCACCACAATTTCATTCTCTCTTAGTGGCCTAGCCACCGCAGCATGTTCATTTTTATAGACCTACCAATATTAGGCTCAAAATTGTAGCGTCTATGTCATAATCCGTTTCCCTGCACGCCTTTATAAATGTCCCATTTATACATTCAAAACAACCCAAACGTTCTTCATCACTTTTTGTCATCATCCACGTTTCTGACCAACTTGATTAGAGTTCTATATACATATCAATATTTTCGTTCTTTTTGTGACTGTTTGACGTTAAGTTTCTTTAATCCATAGTACGTTCTATTTGCTAGATATATATGTCTGTTAATTTCTGCAGTTACTGTATTACTTTGGTTGATTTGAGCCTAGATATGTGAACTCTTTTACTCCTTTAAAAGTATATGTTGCAGCTGTTAGATCTTTGGGTTTTCCTAATGACAGTAGTGGGTCCAACGGACACAAGAAGTAGTTAACAGATCCAACAGAAGTTCGTGTTAGTACTAAGCACATCCTAGTTTGGTCCAAATGTCACGCTGCTAAACACCCACCGATGATAATTGAACCTTCATTGGATGTCTGGTGGACTTACTTGTATTAAAGTATTTTGGGAAATAAAAAATAAATTTTTAAAGGAACTTTATTACATATTACATTAATTTATTATTTTAATTATAATTAAATACTATCGGCTCATGAGATCAATACACAAGGATCACCTGAAATTTTTTACAATTAGTTAATTTGATAATAACACGCCAATTCGCAAAACTGCCCAATAATTTCTGTAACCCAATACAATCAGAATGGTCTAGAATAATACGAAATAATTTTATGTCATGTGCATATGCTAAGACTTTAGTCACTCAATGATGTGATAGCAGCATCAACAAAAACTTCAAAGAGAAGAGGTAGGTACCAAGTTGGCATTTTGGACCACTCCAGAGGAAAGTATTCAGTTAATCATTCAAGTAAAATCCTTTTAAAATTATCCTTTCTACAACAGGATATTATCCACAGTTTCCTGACCACACTATCTTTAGGAAACGTATGAAACCTTAAGGTTTTATCTTTATTGTCACTATTACAAGTAGCAACTGCACAGCGCATTTTGAAATAGTTACAAAATTTCACAAAAACAAACAGATACACGAAAGCAAATAAACGAGTAAATGTTCTTAAATCAGTCTATACAGACTATAACACATATATACTATCCAAAAAAAGAATAATATCGCTAAAAACAGATGAACAATACGAGTTTTGCAAAAAAATCCACTACACAATATAGTAATACAATTACAAATAATGGCTCACAGGGACCTTTGCTACGTCACACCCGCTTGACCTCAGCTGTCAAAAGTGTCAAATGTCATGCGCAAGATTCTACCATGAGAGTTTATTGTACCATGGCACAAAACAGGAACAGACACAGAACACGAAACAAAATTCAATGCTCATGCTTTATGGTCTACTTCACCGATAAAGAAGACCGTGATGTTTTATTTACTATCTTTAATGGGAATTAACCACAATTTCAGTTGAAAATGCGTTTATTTGACATTTCCGATATTTCAAAACTGATTTCCAAACAGGAAATCAAAAACGTGTGTTTAATTAAAATTGTGGTTAATTCTCATTAAAGACAGTAAATATTACTAAAATGCCACAAGAAAATAGCTTCCTAATCCTAATATTACCATGATATCTGTTTGACGTGGTAGAGAACAAGATACAATAAGAATGGTTAAAATATATTCACATTCGACCTATTTAAATATCTGAAATAGTTTACCAAGTCCACAGTTTAATACATTATTTTAAGTTAACAATATACTCTATATTATTGCTTCAAATAATTTAAAACATCATTTAGTTTAGAGAGAATCATTTGAGATTTTTATTCATTCCTGGTTTGTATGCCAATCTGAAACGGACGCCAGTGAATTTTAAGAAATAATGTTGGTAATATGAACACTAGTAAATTTTGGTGTTCTGCTTCGGTTTACAGCGCAGTAAGATGCCATTCGGATTCTGGCAGGTAAAAAATTATTGACAGTTATGTGTTTTGTGTGTTTTTGGTATCCTCTTATAATTAATATTGCAAAATGATTAATAAAGAATCCGAACTCATAATAGAAAAAATATGTAGGTGTTGTATGTGTGAAAATGAAAACATGCACAATATGTTTGAAAAGAAAAACGAAGAGAATGAGGAAGATTCCTCAACACTTCTGTCCGATATGCTGGTGGCTTGTGCTTCAATAGAGGTAAGTTTTGAATGCTTTGTGAAATGAAAATAAATCTCAGGAATATGCTTTTCTTGTTAAGGAAACAAAAACTAAAAGGAAATTCATATGGCATAAATAAGTACTAGTGTAATAAATAAGGGAAACGATGTAAAGATTGTTTGGGAAATTAGGTATAAAACTTAAATAGATCCATATATCTTTAAGAAGTCCTAGAAAAATTGTCTCTAAACTATATATAAGAAGCAAAATATATAAAATAAATGACTCGATTAGTACAAATATATTCTAGTACTTAGACACTGCACAATAGCCAAAAATCAACACAGATCAAAACAAATTAAGACATAAAATATACAATTGCAGAAACTGATTCAGAGATAAATTCAATAAAAATAATTACCAGAAAAACACAACTCATGTCTTTTAATTGAAAAATAGCAGACAAATTGAACAGAGATAGGATCAGTAAAAACACAATAAACTTATTTAATAGATGACAATAACTTACATTTAAGATACATTTAAGATTCATTTAGGGAAAGATCCAATTGCCAAGGAATTACATAAAAATAAATCTAGAAGGAAAATATTGGACTGGATATAATAGATGCAAAAATTTACTTCCTATGAAAATTTTGTAAAAAGTGTTGTTGGTTTAACAATGATTTTGGTCAGCTTATGGTCTTTAACATTTTCTTTACTAATTTCCATAGTCTTATATGATCCATTTTCCAAATTTTATGTGGATATTCAGTTTATCCATATATCTTGCAATTTTTTATCACTTTATCTCTACAAAAGCCCACTCCATATTTGTTGGCTATTTCGCTACTCTTCCTGGACATTCCTTTTTCTAGTCTTATATTATAATATCATCTGTTATTTTCTTTTTATTTAAATATAAGCGAATAGCCATTCTCTTTGTATTTAAAATTCTTTAAAATTTATTTAATATCAATAATCCTTTATTCATTACAACCATACAATAGATATAGAAAAGACAAAAGAAGAAATTGGCTATCTACAATCAAATGTCTTAAAATTGTATAGAATTATTGCTTGTTTTCTCAGTATGTCAATTTTTAAAATAGTAATTTAGATATTCCTGGATTCCTAAAATTTGTGTATACAAATTCCCTTATATTTAGAATAAGAAATAAAGCTAATGGTAAACAAGTATTACTGTGGACCAAGAAGGTAACTAAATGCTGAAATTAGACCAGAAAACAAAAATACCAATATACAAAATTCTTATTTTACCATAGGTGCCATATGGATCTATAACATGGACCATCTCAAGAGCAGAGGATCTGCTCATGTTTGAATGACTGATAATGAGAGGAATATTTGGTGGCATATGTGCAAATAGTTTCTAGAGGGGAAGGTACAACTCTGAAATATTTAAAATTTAGATCTATCAAGTGGAAAAAATGTGATACTCTTTTGTAAAAATCTGAAGACTGAGATGTGCAGGACAACTGGCATAATTACAACAGAACAACGTTCCCATTCTATGCTTTATATCATAGCTAGAGATAAGTAGACATAGGCCAAAACTTAGATGGGAGGATCACATCTAAGGATGAAAATTGGTGCAACAAACTGGCAATGTATGACAAATGCTAAAGAAGGCTTGAGACACTCAAGGCTCTGCTCTAGTCCAGGGTATTGAGCAATAAAATGTTTTAATGTTCTATCTGAGCATATCAGAAACTTGCTGAAAAGGAATTTGAAAATAGATTTAAAAAATATTAATAAAAAATCCCTTTTAAACAATTTATGAATATTTACAACATAATTATAATTTTTATTGAGGTTTTGTACATATTTGATGAGTGTAAGATTTTATATTTATAACATGAATAAACAGTATTGAATATGAAAAATTAATTGAAAGCAGAGTTTAATTCAATAGTGAATTAAAATATGCTTTCTCAATTTCAAAATACAGTGGCCATAACTTTTTCGACCCATTGAGCCACTTATGGCTGCGTCTGAGGACTTTTGCCAGCTTCAGTCTACTGCTGTGTGTTCATTTGGTTCTGTGGTGTGTAGTAGTGGATCCAGATTTTATCAATGGTTACCAATAAATGACAAAAGTCCAATAGATTGCGCTTCATTAGATCCAAACACTTATGAGAAGCACAATCATGTTTTTGGCCAATAGTCAGCAGATGTGGCACCTATTGGTAGGATCATGTTTTGATATTTAAAACTTTGTTCAAAATATCATTGTGTTTTGTACTGATTGTTATGACCTTCACGAATCTTTATTTCTCTATATGCATCATTTTTCCAAATATGTCAACTTATGCAGCATTCAAAAATATACTAATAGCTGCAGTGTGATAAAGTTTGTATATCTAAAAAGACTTTTTAGAACTAATGTTTTTTTTTGAGATGACAATGTCCTAACTGGTCACAGAGGTTATTAACAGACCACAAGATATTCTTTAATTATCTATACCTTAGTTTAGCAAAGTCTTACTAGGAATTCTTAGAGACCAACTATTTGTACAGATTATAATTCAATACATTCAAGTGTACCCTTCTGCATCATCATCATCTTTGGCTTGACAATCCTCTGTGGATCCTGTCCTGCTTTAAGATTTGTCACCATTGTGTTCAGTTTCTGGCGAACCTCTAACTCCATATAACCACCTAAGGTGCAGTCATTCTCTGATTCTTTTTCCTATATGTGTGCCTGTTGTTAGCTTCTTAGCATTCACATTATCTGGCATTTGTATAATGTGTCCAGCCCATGTTCAAACCACTGTGCTTTAATGAATGTTACATCTGGTTGACCAAATATTTTGCAGAGTATTTTATGTTTGAATATTTCCAAAAATCTTCCATCCTTCTACGTTATACTCCATGTTTCCACACTAGAGGTGTGCTTATTAGTTCTTTTAGATGAACTAGTTCAAGAGAACTATTTCACAAAAATGACCTAGTTCAAGAGAACTATTTCACAAAAATGACCTAGTTGAATGATGATGATGATAGATGAACAGTTTTCTTCGGTTTTCAGCAGAGAACTAGTTCTCAGGTTTTTAGTCACTCAGTCAGTCTTTCACTACCATACAAGTAGTTCGGATTCGAAACCATTTCTTTCGATCATATGTTTAGGTTTAAATGTTTTAAATTATTATATGATTAGTTAGTTTTTCTTTATAAATCTTCTTTATATTTTTATTAACTGTTTTAAATATAAATATGGTTCACATATGATTTATTTTTATATTTACATATTTTTAAACTCATAGGTATCTATAATTAGGTTATTTCTAAAAGAACCTTTACAAAAAAATCAGTGAATTTTCTAGGGACATTAAATAACACATTTTCATTCTCACTTTTACATAAAATTATATTTTATGTAAATGCATCAATCATTTTAACCACAACTAAAAATTTTTATTTCAAAATTAGAATACAAGAAACAACACAGCATGGCAATGTCCAAGCCAATACATGGGCATAAGATCCAAACCATTGTGACATTAAGCTAAGACCATATGGTATTGTCACGTTCATCGTGAAAAAATCGCTCATTTGAACTATTTCGATTTTGAACTACACATCTCTATTCCACACTTTATGTGAGGACCAGCCTCAGCAGTGTTTTGTATATAATAATTTTAGTTTTTCTTTCTTGATCTGATCTTTCTTGAGTGAATTTTTTTTTGTAGTCCATATATTTGCAAGGTGTATTTGTCTTTTAATTTCTTTGCTTGTTTTGTTGGTGCAGTGGTAGTCACTAGCGAGCCAAGGTATGTGAAGCTGTCAACACATTCAAAGTCAACACTTCTGCATATTAGCCTATTTTTTGTATAATCATGTCATTAATTTAAAAAGCTTGGTTCTCTTGGTTCTTTGGTCTCGGTAGTCACCACATTTACATGTTGTTACAGTCTGTGTTTTGACCTCTTCTGAATTTATTAATGGTCTGGTTCTATATCTTTATCTTTATCTTCTACTTTATCCAAACCTAGGGACATCATATTGAGTCTTGTTGATGATTCTTGATATAACAGATTTTTTATTTTACAATAATTGAATAATCTGCATATTACCTTTACAGGTATAACCACATAGCTTCGTGGTTTAAATCTATATAGTTTTTGGTATTTATTTGTACAAAAATATCAGGATTACTAATCAGAATTCAAAAGCTTCTGTTTCCTTAATGCTCTTCTTTTTTAGTGTCCATGATTTCATACCTTAGTACATCACTGATAGTAAATATAATCTCATAAGCTATATTTTTAATTCCTTACTTATATCTCGACCACAGATTACACATTTCATTTTCGTAAATGTACTCTGAGCCTTAACAATTAAATAATGCTTAATGCTAATAATGCTAAGCATAGCCCTAGGAACACACTATGATCTCTATTTAATGCAATACCATATTTGAGCTGTTATGATAAAAAATAGCGCCATAATCTTATATTGATCTTAAAAATAATAGTTTAACATTTGGGTCTAACCTACAGAAGATTTTATACAATGACCTTAAAGACATCAACCATTTCTCAGTTTTTTGAATTTATGCTTTATATCGATGGGTAAAAGTCAAAACCTCTTAAGTCAAATTTTAAATTTTTTAGGACTTCTATGTTTAATACATATTTTTTCTTTTTTAGTATTTATTTCATTATTACTTTAAAAAAACATGACAATATTTAGCTTTCATCAATCTGGGGTTTTGCCAGAATATTCAGACCAATATTTTCAACCTCATCTTCATAAATCTAAAAGTGGCCAGTTTTTGACTCATTAGGTTTCGACATTTCGAATAACTGTCGATTTATTCTTTTCATGGCAAAATTTTCTCTAATATAGTACTTAAATATTTAATTGAAATTTCTGCCATTTTTTTGTAATCTATATTTAGCGCTTCATATCTTTCTCCCAAATTAATCATCATCATCATAATTCGCTCCACAACCCATGGTGGGTCTTAGCCTGCTCAAGGATAAGTCTCCATTATCTCCTATTCTTCACCTGGGCTTTCCAGTTTCGTACTCCCAACCTTCTCAAGTCTTCCTCCACCTGATCCCTAAATTGTGCTCTGGTTCTGCCTTTCCTTCTCTTCAGAAGGAAAGAAATTAAAAAGAGAAGTAAATACTTCTGGTGTATAATGGTATATTTTAATAAATAAAATATACCATTATACACTAGAAATCTTTGCTTATCTGTAAGTTTTTTTAAACTATGGTATACAGCCAACCACTCGGATTTTCCCCATTTACTTTGTAAAATAAATTACAACAAAATGAAATCAAATAAATTAAAATTAAAAACCAAGAAAACGCTCTGTGTGTAGATGACAGGAAAGCTATGCTTCCTCTCCTTGGTCATTCCCAGACTGCTACATCTCGTTTTTTATTATGAGAATTTATAAATTTTAAGTTAATTTTTATTTAAATTTAATAATTAGTGTTATAATATTAACAACTTTGAGTTTAACAAATGTATTATTCTACATAAAATGTTACACACTGTACATAATACTGAAAAAATATTTTTAGGTTTCATCTGGAGATGGTTTACCCGCTAGTTTATGTAAGGGTTGCGAAGACAAGTTAAAAAGTGCCTATGAGTTTAGAAAGTTGTGCCAAAAATCTGATACAACTTTAAGGGATCTTACCCAGGATAGTAAGAAGGGTATTAGGCAAGAAGAGGATATAGTAGTACAACCTGATTTACACAATGACGTTTTTGATGTTGAAGATGAAGATAATATTCCACTAATAGAGCGGGGAGTGAAGAGAAAAAGAGGCAGACCTAGAAAAAAGGATATTGAGTTAACATGCAACTATTGTCACAAAATATTGCAGACACCAAAAGGCCTTAGAGTTCATCTTCGCAGTTCGCACCCAGGTGAGAAACTGAGACATTGTTTATTTTGTGATGTTAAGTATGCTAAAACTAATCATTTAATAAGACATCTAAGTACTCATGATAAACCTGGTTTAACGCATCCTTGTGAACTTTGTAATCAAAAATTTACAGAGGCAGCTGAGTTATTCCGCCACACTAAGAATCATGAAGAAGCAGAGGAAGCCAAAAAAGAAAAGGAAATCAAAATAGAAGCTGAAATAAAAACTGAAGTGGCAGATCTCTTTGCTGCAGTCCAAGATAGTGAGAAAAAAGGTGATGAAGTCCAACAGATTGAGCCAGATATCAGCCACTTCAGTGACCATGACGACAATGTTTTTAACGATTTCCCCCCAAGTGACGTAGAGAGTAAGGGTAGTGATGAAGACTTTACTCTTCCCCATGAGAAAGAAAAAAAAACGAAAAAGGAAAGGAAGAAGAGGAAATCCAAGCAAGTTGATGACAATGGCACAGAAAAAGACAAAGCTACATATGAGTGTAAAGAATGTTCAAAGGTTATGACAACATACATAGGATTGAAGATTCACATGAGGAAACACACTGGGTCAGATTTGGCAACTTGCAATGTAAGTTTTTTTGATAACTCTTATATTTTGATTTATTTCATTAAAAGTTTTAATACTTAATAAGTTAAATAAAAAACACCAGTCGTTAGCAGTTATTATTTTTTAGTTTATTACTTACTATATTATATAAGAATAATAAATTTTAGTGGGATAATGCCAAATAAAAAAAATCATTATTTAAAAGTGACTTTTAGTCAAAATTTTTCAAAATATACAAATTAAACAAGTAGTTGTTCTATAAATTAACAATCGTAATACTTATACTATAAGATTTTTGTATTATTTTCGTAGTAGCTGAGAGGTATAATACAAAATTGGTGTTTTGGTTTTGCTTAACTTTAATGGCTTTAACCCATTTAGGCCCATTTGTAGAAAACTAATAAAACCAATTGTTTTTATTAAATATATACATTTAATTAAACACAAATATGTAAATGTAATTTAAAAGCTACATGACGAAAAAAACATATACATATTCTTTATAAATCGTAATTTTCGAAACAATTCAGATTGTATTAATATTGCTGCTTTTCATTAATCTTTTAACTTGCAACAACATTGGGACTGTACATACACTACTGCCCAAAATTAACGCACCACCTTAAATGTACCCTAAGTTTGAAGCTATTTTTCTTCTGAACGGATAATTGGATTTGTATGATTTTTCTTTCATATAGGTCTATTTCTAATAAATCAGTGTATTTAATGTTTTTTTTAAAAATATCAATGTTTTACTTGTATACAGGGTGTAAAAATAAAGTTGTGTTATTTCATCGTATTTTGAAACACTCAGTGGAATTTATTAGAAGGAAACGCTACATCTTAATAATATTTTATGATAGTTTTATCTTTTCTCAAGAGTTTTGTGAAAAAATTATCTCGATATTTCTATTATGAAAGATTATACAGGACTTTAAATGTAACAAGTTTATATTAACATTTAAAACAAAGAAAACACCACTTACATAAACTTTATTGACGTTTAATACAACTAAAGACTAAAAAACATAAACCAAATAATCTTTAACAATTAATAACAAAATATTTGTGCCTCTACATCTAACTACTTCTTCACAGCGTTGAAGCATAATATGTATCATCAAGCAGCGTATTTGGTCTTGATCAATTGCATTCCAAACTTCTCCCACCATAACTTCTACTTTCTTCTTGTCGGTTCCTGAGTTGGTGATCAATAATATCCCACAAATTCTCTATGGGATTTAGATTAGGGCTGCAGGGTGGAAAGTTCATGGTTTGTATTCCAACCTCGTCCTATTAATCACGGACCAAACGTACAGCATGTGGTCGTGCGTTATAATGCATTATTTCCTATGTAAGGAACAAATGGAACTACATGGTTAGGTCTGTAATATACCTTTGCTAAGGAACCTCTTCGTAAAGAGATATTCCTCCCCAAACCTTACAGATCCTCCATTGAACCGAGTAATAGGTCGTATGTTGCACTCTGTACGTAGCGTTCTGTTGGCCGTCAAATAACTGTCACATCTATCTGAGCTATAGAAGCAATTCCTCGATTCATCACTGAACAACACATGTTCACAGTCATCAACATTCGAAGCTTTTGTGTTAGTTTTTGATAACTGTAGGTGTTCTAAATAGGTTTTAGTTGTGATCACCCCAGCAACATCTATTCTTTTCCTATTCCTTTGATGTAGCTTCGGGGAAGGTTTCACTGTTGCTAGTAGAATGTTCTCCCAGGATGCAATGCAATTCTGGCTTTCTGTAGTAGAGCTGCAGGAGGTTGTACATGGGATCGTAGTTTGCTTACCCGTAGAACTTTGCTTGTCAGTGATAGTGTCTGGAATGTTTTTCTCTTTATAATATCGTTTTAACTTTTCGGGATCAAACTTTTCTTTGTTAATGGAATCTCGATTTAGAAGAAAAATACCTGTTTTTCTAAAGGCATTCACCACAACAGGTATTAGAATACTGAGGCAAGCTTTTCCCAAAAGGTTAAAAAATTCGCATTTTGTTAGCTGTTTTCCTAAATTTTTGCGCTGCCAATCTGTTAACAAAGCATCCCATGAGGACTTGAGCCCCTTGAAGGCAGACATATCCAAAGGCTGCAATATTGCAGAAGTATGTGGCGGTAATTTAAGAATAGTAACATATTCTGCCATGGATAACGTAATCAGCTCGGGTGAAATGTGCGATATATGACCATCGTAAATCAAAAGAGCAGGCCTTTCAACGCAATTTTTCAAAAAAAAAACATTTTTGAACCATAGAAAAAATATTTGTTCAGTCATCCAACCATTTTCGGATACATAATAAGATGTCTCTGGATACTCATCTGTACCAAACATATTGTCCCATAACCTTTTGCCCTTGTGGAGGATCATAGGTGACAATATGGATCCGTTAGTATATATAGCAGAATAGTAACATATTCTGCCATGGATAACGTAATCAGCTCGGGTGAAATGTGCGATATATGACCATCGTAAATCAAAAGAGCAGGCCTTTCAACGCAATTTTTCAAAAAAAAACATTTTTGAACCATAGAAAAAATACTTGTTCAGTCATCCAACCATTTTCGGATACATAATAAGATGTCTCTGGATACTCATCTGTACCAAACATATTGTCCCATAACCTTTTGCCCTTGTGGAGGATCATAGGTGACAATATGGATCCGTTGGCATTAGCACATGCCAAAACTGTTGTTGTTTTCCGCCTGAGCCTGCAGTTTGTCTTTGTGCTATTTCTCCGATTCCACTTACAACCTTAGTACGGCTGGGGTCATAATTAAAAGTCGTTTCATCTGCATTTCATATCCTAGCAGGGTATTGTTGGAAGTTGTAAATTATTCATAATAGTTTCCAGTTGATCAAAGAAATTGTAAACAACAAATGGGTCACTTTGTTGTCTTACATGTGATGCTTCAATTATCTGAGGTTTTTAATAGAAAGTCGGTTGTGTTTTGAAAAATTCAGAAACCAATCTTCACCAGGCTTCCCTCTCTAAAGGGCGTTTTGCAGATTATTTTGCTGAACATATACCTGTACAGTGTTGAGTATTTGTTTGCGAGGTAGTCCAAACCCCACTACTCAACGTTTTTATCCGAGAAGCCAAAATGTCTTCATCTTCTTTAGAAAGGGCAGTTCTACCACCTCCTCAAAATCTAGTAGGTACCTAATTTTGTTATTACCTTGTGCATGTCCTGCCGCTGGTCTACCTTTCCACCCATTCACTTTTAATCCGAGTGTCGATTTTGGTATGCCATGCTCCATTGCAGCATTCTTTAGTGAAGATTTTCCCGATTTCACATCTCTTATAGCCAGTTCTAATGCTTCTATTGAATACCTACTTCCGACACCACGATGATAGTTTTTTAATATATTTTCTTGGCATTTTTGCACCCAAAGAATATGTTATAAAGAAACTAACCTAGAAACTTTTGGAACTACAGTTCCCCCGGTATCGCCGTCCACAGTTGCACCGATCATGTGTCATGTCTGGGTAACTGTGGACTCCTTAATTACCAAACTATTCTTCTCATACTCCGGTTACTCAGCGCTAGATGGCGCCTGAAGTTTACTTTCAGAAGCATTTATTGAAAATTAGCACTGCTTCTGTACTAAACCAAGTTTTTCAAATTTAACTCAACTACTACGCAATTTACTTCAAATATGTCGGTCACAGTTTTAGACTAAATTATAATGCGCTCCCTAACTTTCGCGTGATTGGTTGGTGGGTGGGTCCCAATTTAAAAATTGGCGGGTTTCATGTTTATTAAAATGACAATAAAATTGAGGTATTGTGGCACAGTATATCGCTAAACAATTTATTAGCAATATATTGTGGTATTTGTACAAAGCGGATGATATTCACATTTTAGGATTAAGCTGACTTCTTCTTCGAGTTCCTATCCGTTTCGGATGTTGGAAATCATATTGGCAATCATAACCTTGCTCGCTGCGGCTCGAAACAGCTCCGTTGAGGTTTTCTTAAACCATGTTCTTAAATTCCGCAGCCATGATATTCTCCTTCTACCGGGTCCTCGCTTACCTTTGACTTTACCTTGCAATATAGACTGTAGCAGGGAGTAACGGTGCTGATTTCTCATAACGTGTCCCAGATATTGCAATTTTATGCGTTTGATCGTAAACACAATCTCTGGTTCCTTCTTCATTTTTCCTAGAACTTCCTTGTTCGTGATCCTTGCTGTCCATGATATTCTCAGCATTCTTCTATAAAGCCACATCTCAAATGCTTCAAGTTTTTTAATAGTGGCGTCTGTAAGCGTCCATGCCTCCGCCCCGTACAACAACACAGAGAAAACATAGCATCTCAAATGTCTCATTTTTGTATCAAGGGATATGTTGTGACTTTTGAAGATGGCGCTCATTTTGTTAAAGACCGTTCTTGCCTTTCCTATGCGGCACTTTATTTCCTGTAAATTGCTCCACTGTTCGTTAATAATAGTTCCCAGGTAACAATACTGTTTTACTCGCTCTATCTGCGTCCCATTAATGTATATATGAGCCCCATTTATATTCTCCTTGCTGATAATCATTTGTTTCGTTTTGTGGGTATTAATGTTTAGTCCGTACTGTTGACTGTACTCGTTTATTCTGTCCATTAGCCTCTGAAGTCCCTCTAAACTATCTGCTATCACCATGGTGTCGTCGGCATATCTAACATTGTTTACTCTTTCACCATTTAGAAGGATGCCTTCGTCTATTCCGTAATGAGCCTCGTTAAAAATTTTCTCTGAGTACATATTAAATATCAACGGCGATAGGATACATCCCTGTCTAACTCCACGTAGTATTTTTACGTGATCTGTTTCTTCTCTGTTAATTTTCATGTATGCGGTCTGATTCCAGTAGAGTTCTGAAATTATTCTGAGGTCTTTGTCATCCAGGTCTGCCTCTTTTAAAATTTTTATCATCTTTTGATGTTGAACTATGTCAAATGCCTTTTCGTAGTCGATCAAGCACGCGTATACGTCGCAGTTAACGTCCCTGCATCTTTGAATCAGTACCTGTACTCCAAAAAGTGCCTCTCTGGTACCCACTGCGTTAATAAAGCCGAACTGTCTGTTCGATATTTGTTCCTCGCACTTCTTATAAATTCTTCCATGGATGACTAGTAGAGTTTTATTAGAAATTAAAATTTATTTTTCTTTTGACATTATGTAGGTAAAATTAAATTCAGACATTGTGTTTATTTAATTTTGATATGCTAGTGATGCTTTTTTTTATTAGATATATAGTAGATATTGTTTTAATTTTTTTGTTTAGGTAATTTTTTATTAAGATTCTTTTATTAAGATTATTAAGATAGAGGTTCCTCTTATTATTTTTATTTCTAGAACATGCATTACCATTATTATTCTCATTAGCTTTCTCTATGTGGAATCGGCTTCTCTAAATATTTTCCTCTAAACTTTTCTGTTCTCTTCCAGGGACTAAGTACCTCTCCGCTTTTGTATGATTATGGTTTTCAAACATGTAATTTCTGTTCATCTCCTTTTTTACTGCCCTACATTCAGTACCATACATCATAGCTGGTCTAAAGGCAGTCCTATACAATTTACCTTTTAGTTTTCTTGGTACCTTTTTTATCATACATCACTCAATTTGCCTCTTTCCTTTACCTTTAATTGAAATATTAGAGATAAAACGGTAATACCAATCCTAAAAGCCGAACATTATCATCTTTTATGATTTCTTGTCTATCCAAGCCAACTACTCTATCTGGTCTTGAAATTTCATCTTTAAAAGAATATTCTAAATATTTTGTTTGTATCCAACTTAATTTTAATCATTTTTCTTCAAGGACCTGTCTCCGCTACTCTTTTCTACTAATACCCAGGAGGTTCAGTTGTTATCTAATCCAGCACAAATGAGAATAAATATGGGCGAAACCCTGATTTTCACCCATTTTCACACAAAATTTGCCAGTTTCACCTGTAATCGTTCTAACACTATAATAGTTGTTTTAACACTATTATAGTTGTTACTTGCTCATACTCCACTCACATATTCAGCCGGCACTCCTTTCCTATTTAATCTCTGCCACAGTAGGTTTCTGATATCTTGATCATGTGCTTTCTCAAGTTTAATAATACAATGTAAATTCACTCTAAATTGTTAAATTCGCTCTTTTAATAAAAATTGCTTGTTGTAGACCTGCCTTGCCTAAATCCAAATTGACATTTATCCATTTTCATTTTTTAGAACCTTACATTGAATTCTGTTAGATTTTACCACATATGTAGGATAATAAAAAGATATATTGTGAATTGAGTGCTATGAAAAATTGTCATTGTCAACAAAATGAAGCAGAGGTTTACTGGAAATAACGATTGCAAACCAAATAAAACACTAAATAGCTATATCTAAAATCTCTTTATTCTTTATTACAAATCTGGGAAATCAAAGGAGGGGGGGCGTTATTGGTGCAATGGCGAAGGAAAACCCCCTCTAAAGCTCTCCTAAATTGTATAGGACTGCCTTTAGACCAGCTATGATGTATGGTACTGAATGTAGGGCAGTAAAAAAGGGGATGAACAGAAATTACATGTTTCTGAAAAACCATAATCTCATACAAAAAGCGGAGAGGTACTTAGTCCCTGGAAGAAACCGAAAAGTTTAGAGGAAAATACTTAGAGAAGCTGATTCCACATAGAGAAAGCTAATGAGAATAATAATGGTAACAAATGGTTAGACTATTGATGTGGGAAATACAGTTTGGGTTGGTTTTTTGGTAAGATTTTCATTTTTTTTCGGTTTTACATTTGAGTGTGTGATTCAAAAAATAAAGGATATGAGCTTATCAAATTGTTTTGTAATTATACTTGGTAAGTTGTGATTGGGTGTAAGTATGTAGGGATTTTGTTTTTGTTTGGGGTTGGGAGTTGTTTTAGGTAGTGGATGAGGTTGAAGTTTAGGTGTGAGTAGTTGTTGTGACAGAGGGGGTTAATTGTAATATTGTGTGGATAAGTTTGTTTTGGGGGGGTGAGTGCTGTAGCGGGCCCAATACTTGTAAGAATTCGTGGTAGTGGGTCGGGGTATGTTATATGGTATTAACAGAATTGGGGGGTTGGGGGGTCACTAGGGACCAAAATACATATCAATTGATACGAGTTAGGGGGCGGAGGTGGATGGATTGGTGTGTTTCAGTTTTAGTTGCTAACTGAATTTTTGTTTTGGTAGCTGATGTCTCAAGAATTTCTTTCTTATGAATATTATATATTCATAAGCTTTTTCTTGAATTGTTCTTAGTATGAATACATTGTCTGAATCCATTTTGATAATCATCGATTGTATTCTCGGAGTATTCCAACAATCTATTATAGATAATACCAGAAAGAATTTTGTGTTAAAACATTACACATTATTATTGGTCAATAATAAATGAATTAAGTACATTATATATTAGAAATATAAAGTGAATTCAGTTTGAACTAACATAAACTTCATTAAGTAAACAACAAATATATTAGAATTAAAACAATTTTATAGAAAGAATTTGGAAATAAAGATTTTGGACATATCCAAAAGGAAGTACAAAAGATTATACTCGGTCACTACCATTCTTTAATTTACACTTTGACAATACTTTACCAAAAGCTCTAGAAAAGAAACTATAGGAAAATGAACAATTAATAAAACTGTTTCCTTTGCTTTGATTAAATTTTAACCACTATGAAAAAGAAAAATGGTCTATTTCAGTCATATATTCAGAAATAAAAAAATATCACAAGTGCCAAATTTCAAGGAAAGTATGCACCAGGAGAAATTTCTTTACATTTAAACTAATCATTTTTTTATTTCACTAGAGTATATTTTAAAGGAAATTAAATTACCAGGATTTCCATTATTTTTTAAAATTTGTTACATAAACATATTAATTATTTTTGTTTCACATTCTTGAAGTGTCTGTAAATTTGTTATAAAGGAGCTTTTGTGTAAATATAATTCACGAGTATATTTTTTATAATTTCCGCAAATAATTTTTTTTCTTTAGAAGTGTATCTGTATTCTCCTTTAGTTTTTTCAGTCAGTTAAAGTGATTTTTTATTTTATTTTCACCTCTTCTGTGCATGAAATATGCTTAAAGTAATTAATAGATGTCAAATTTCAAAAACATTTGTTATATTAAAAATTGTTGGTTTTAGTTATGCAACAAATCATTTACAAAAAATAGCCATCTTGTAAGGCATTTATCTACTCATGGCATAGAGGATGAAGATAAAATGAAAGCCCTAAGGACGTTTTCAGATACTAAATCAAAAAAGGTAAATGTTTAATAAATCTATGATAGAAATTAAACTCTTTTCTCTATTACTTCTTTACAATCAAACAGAAATATACAGAGTCGACCAAAAGTATGGTTATCTCTTAAATGGATGGTCCGAATTATACAAAAACAGGGATACACATATTTTGCAATATGATTTGATGTTTGTAACGTTTATCACAACAATACATTTTTTGATTCAAACTATGTACAACTGAATTTGAACATGATAATTAAAAGTTTACTACATTGATAATTTAATGTCTACCTAATTCAAAATGTCCTCTGTTCTTAATTTTACAGTATTCTAAACGATGACAGAACGCGTCTATTACATCTCTCCATGTTTCTCTAGAAATTAATATGAATTCACCGATAATTGTCTGCTTAGGTCTGCAACACTTGCTGGTTTAGTTTTATAAATTCTACTTTTCAATCAGTAGATTTAGTTTAAACAGTGGTTAGAAGGCAAGAAATATGTCTATCTTCATGCCATCACACATACATGTGTGTGCTTGAATTATGTACCTTGCTTAAAATATAAATTATATGACATATTAATGAGTTTTCGAGTAAAATTCTCTAGTATAAGGGTAAATTTCACCACTGGTATATTTTCTGAAAATATGGCATTAATTATTTTTTTCCCTAAATTAATTTATATTTTAATATGGTTCTCGTTAGTTTATAGAAAATGTTTCTATTTGAGAACCTTTTTAATAATACTAATAGTGCATCTATTTAATGTAGATTATGGAATGTGACTATTGTGACAGAAAATTCAAATATAGGAAAAGTTTCTTACACCACATGCGTCAAGAACATGGAATGGAGGAAATGGACAGTGATACTGAAAAGAAGAATAAATCGGATTCCAAAGATGGTAAGTTGTTTTATACACATAATTTAAACACATTCAAAATCCTACATTTACATATTTATGTGAAGGTAGGTCTATGGCATAAGAAAGTAATTTTTGTGGTAAATTTAAATTTCTATCATTAATCTGTAAAAATTCCATACATATGAACCACTGAATACAACATGCAATATTGTAAAACATTTTTTGCAACATATTACAAAGTTCATTCATTTACAAAATTCATTTTAAGTCTACAATAATATTGACCAATATTTAGCTATCTTCTCTCTCTCCCCATATTTAGCTATAAGATATATCGATAGAAATAGGAAAGCAATAGCCGAATTCACTGTGAAATTTGTAGATCTATTGACTTTTCTTTATCATTAAAACTCCTCCTCTAGCCGACCCACTTGATCGGTTTTCACAACCTCGAGAGTGGTCTTTGCATTTAGTCTGATGCTTGCGGTTTTTTTCCCAGTTCTAGATACTACCGGCATGACACATGCAACACAGTCTCCTCATCCTCTAGACAGAACCGGAAAAAAGACTCTTCTGCCAAACCCATATGGCCCAAAGCTTTTTTGAGCATAGTGTCAAATTAGCAGTCCTACTATTATCCTAATAACTTATTGGTTGTGTTATAAATGTTATATATTTCTCTTATAAATGGAGCTGAATGTTCTTTGATAATCTCTTTAGCTTGGATTTTCCTGATTTACTGCATTTCTCCACCTTTGGATAGACTTATTTTGCACCCTTGTGTCAGAGGCTGTTCTTTTGTGTGTGCTAGCAATCCTAGGAAGTGTTTTGGGCCAACTAATGGAATGTATGCTCTTCGAACCAGTCTTCTTGTTGCCCCTGTAACAACTACCACCTGGTATCAAGGCTATAGTTAACCTGTTTTGACTTCCAATCTGAGTAATGACATTCAAATAGTCCACACAAGATTGACTCAATCTGTACTGAACTGCGTGCCTTCAGGGCTGCTTGAGTGTATGTGTGGATAACAATTGTACTGTTCTCTATTAGATTCATAGCTTAAAGTGTATATCAGCAACTTCCTCCTAAAATACTGTAGCATATATGATATTCAGCGGGATATCGGTCTTTGGTCTTGTTCCATATAGGTATTCCAGCGCCCCTGTTCGTTTTGGAACCATCTGTAGTTATTAAGTGCTTATAAACTGAATTTATAAACAATCACAGTTTAAATTTTTTTTAAAACAATATTAAATGTATTTCTTTCAATTGTGAATTTTCTCCATTTTCTCTCTCCCCCTCTCTCTCTCTCTCTCTCTCTCTCTCTCTCTCTCCCCCCCCTCTCATCTCTCTATCTCTCTATCTCTATATATATATATATATATATTAGCGTTGGAATTTAAGGAACTGAACATCTTAGATTTGATTAAAATGTTTTATTTGATTGATGAAGCCCCCCTAGTCTTCAGCAATATCTTCGATTTTTTTTAACGGATTGCTAAAGATGTTTAATTAAATTTTCTAAAAAATTTTACTAAATCTGCATCTATAACCTGTTGTTGATATTGTAGATTAGATAAAATTTGCTGCGTTGCAAGATGTATTGACTGTATGTTCATTTGTTGGATTTCAAACCCTGTAGATATATATGAAAATATATCTAATGGATACCATTGACCATATTTTATTTATATGTATAAAAATGATAGTGAGTTCTAATTTATTCATAAATTGTGTTATCTAATTAATAGAATGTCATTAATTGAATTATATTTAAAGGTGAGGACGGTATTTCAACAAAACGTGAAATTAGATTGGATGAGCTTAATATTGACGAAACTAAACAAGAAGAAGATGATGGCGAAGCTGGTATTCCTGATGCCGAAAATGTATTTGTTAAGAAAGCCCGTAGTAAAAATCAAGTATGTCATGTTTGTGGGGCCTCCTTTTCAAGAGTAAATCATCTTACAAGACACATGACATTACATCGTGCTGTTTTGGTTCATCAGTGTGACAGGTAAAAATATTTAAATTTAGTAGATATTATATATTATTTTATGTATTAGCAGACTTTTCTATTTACTATGATATGTTAAATTTATATAGACATTTTTTAAGATTTATCATGACCAAATTTGATATAGCAATCTTTTTTTTCTGCTTTAGTCATTTAGCCAGTTACAGCAGAGTAATTCAACATAAAACATGTTTTTACTACCTAAGTGAGAGCGCCCACCAAACTGGCGTGGCAAGTGGCAAGTAGCACGCGTCTAGCATGTTACTTAAAATGTAACTAATGCAAACGAATGATTATAATGAATGGCGTCACTCCCATTTTGGTGTGCGCTGAATCATTCGTTTTCATTGGTTACATTTTAAGTAACATGCTAGACGCGTGCTACTTGCCACTTGCCATGCCAGTTTGGTGGGCGCTCTCCCTTAAAATGTAAATAAACACAAGGCGATAATATATCTATTAAATTGGACTATCAAATTAAAGAAAAGATTTCTTCTATTTGAAGTTATACATAGGTGTGAATCAACAACTTTAATCAAATGCGAACCCTAACATGCGTGTTCAAACCTACACCTCATTATTGTGGTTAAATATTTCCCAGAAATAGTATAATTTTTGAACCAGTATTCTTTCCAATAGGAATTAAACCAGAGGATAGGTTTAATTCGGATATATCCAGGAGATGAAGAATTACATAATTTTTGTTATGCTTGTATATTTTTTGTATCTTTCTTAACTTTTACATATGCGTCTAATTACAAAGCATAGGCCTAGTCAAAGTACCGCTCTCTTTGACTATATTATCTTCACTTACATTATCCTTGATACCTATATGAGCCATATAATCCTTCATCGTATGGATCAACAGCCAATTCAAGCCCTACCCTCCCCCAGTAAACCTCTGCCACTTTCATTAAGGTCTGTAGCCATTCTCCTACATGATTCCAATAGGTCTTTTCCCCTGCATTCTGGCATTCAACAGTCTTTTTGGAACCCCGTTTTCTTCCATATGAGCTTTTATCTGTAGAAAATTAACATTTCTATTTATTTTATACGTTTCATACACTTTCAATGATAAGGATATAACCATTTTAGTTACTATCTATAGAATATTGGAAGATTTAATCACCTACAAAATGGAAAGTAATTAACTATTGTGATTTCCAATTTTTTTAAATAAAGCTTCATCAATAGCCTATATAGTTTTGTGTTTTTAAACTGAATTTATAAACATCTGTTTATAATCTGACAAAGCAGTCAAAGAGTTCATATATCTAGGGACATCGGTTAACCCCAAAATTAACACATCTGAGGAAATAAAAAGGCGAATAATAATTGCATACAGGTGTTATCATGGTCTATCAAAGTACTTGCTAACAAACGTCTGTCTCAAAAAACTCGTATAAGGCTGTATAGAACACTGATATTCCCCGTTCTCACATATAGATCAGAGGCATGGACGCTAACTAAAACAGATGAATCCGCTCTATCGATTTTTGAAAGAAAGGTGCTACGCAAGATATTCGGAGCGGTCTGTGAGAACGGAATATGAAGGCGTAGATATAACTTTGAACTGCAGAATATCTACAAGCATACGTTTGGTGGTAAAGATATTACCACTATAATTAAGCGAAACCGCCTGCAGTGGACAGGGCATGTAGCCCGGGCCCCTGAATCGAACATGATAAAAAATCTAACAGCGCAACCTGAGAAGAGACGGGGTAGACGAAAGCTGAGGTGGATGGATGGGGTAACACAAAATGCGGAGAAGATCGGAGTCGGCAACTGGAAAATGCAAGCAAGGGACAAAACAGACTGGCGTAGATAGCTTGAGAAGGTCGAGGCCCTCTGAAGGCTGTAGCACCAAGATGATGATGATTATAAACATCTGTTTAGAAATTTAGAATTAGTTTAGAAATAAAATTGTTTAGAAATTTCGAAACAATATAAAATGTATTTCTCGTTACATTCAATTGTGGTTTATTCTCTCCTCTTTCTCCCCTTTCTCTCTCTCTCGTCCCTCTCTGTCTTGTCCCTCATTGGAATGAATTGGTTTTAAAGAGTGACCTATTTAATGAAAATATTTTCGTCTATTTACTACTTCCGGCTATACCGAAAGTTGCTTATAACTTTTTTTATTGGGACATCCTGTATATTTATTAATTTTAGAAATATTCACGTTATTCTGAATGAACATTTTTTGTTAATACTTCCCTATACCCATTGTGAACCGTTTTTGAGTTGTAATGGTTTTTATATAAAAATTACACTTTTCTACAATGTATATAAAGTTCAATATCCTTTAACATAATTTGAATAAAAGTTTAAATTCCTTAGGAACTTATTAAGCAGATACAGTATTATCGCTTACAGTATAAAGTTGCCTTTTTTATTATACAGTGTGATGTCAAAATTGGCATAAAAGTAGCATTCTAAATTTTCGCCTAATTCCTTTGATCCTGTATATGATTCATTATTTTAGAAAAATATGTTTTTTACTATCGATCTGTATTAGTATTCCCTATACCTATCTCTAGCAGTTTTCATATAATTGTTCCATAGTCTTGGAAGGAACATAAAAGTACATACTGTACCATTTATGGTTTGGGATGCATTAGCATAAATCATTTGAAAACACCTTCATCTTCCAGAAACAAATTTCTGTAATCTATCTTATAGAGAATGGTTATTATGCACCAGAAGGCATAAATATCAGTGTTTTCTCTCAACAGTCTGTTCTTCATTCACACTATGGCATGTTTCGGATTATAGTGAATGAGTGTTTCAAGTAACTCTTTTATTAGTAATGTTTTTTTTTTCGAAATCTCCCTTTTCAGTAGTTCCCACCCATTCTCAATAGCGTTCATATCAGACGTTGCCTGGCTAGTCAAGAACTTTTTTATTTTAAATAATCTGAAATACTCTTAGCCTTGAACCAAGGGGCACCATCGTGCATAAATATAAGTTCATCTTCTCTAGGAAACTATTCCTGCAGCTGTGACAAAAGTCTCTTCTCGAGTACTTTCCGGTACTGGTCTTGTCTAATCGTGTTTTCCACCGCTCAGAGACCACCTGTACCTTTCCCGTATACCACAGGTCAGACTATGAGTGATGGTGGGTGTTTGATGGTGGCCACAATGCATTCGAGCTTGTATTTCTCGTTAGAACATTTTCGAACAAACTTCGTTTTTTTTGTCAAAATTTGAAAAACAGATTCATCCGAGAAGCAGACCTAAAATCAATAAAATTTTTGAAAAATGCTCATGTTTTATTAATTTTCATATTGATACCCAAGCAAAACAACACAAATATACCTTTTTCCATTTTTCCACTGTCTTTCTTCTTCTTTTAGTGCCGTCTCCCAATTGGAGGTTGGATATCATCACTATCTTTACTTTATCTACTTCTGCTCTGAAGAGTTCTATAGAACTGCATTTAAACTAGTCCCTTAAATTCTTCAACCATGACACTCTCCTTCTTCCTATACTCCTTTTCCCTGTATTATCAGCCTTAACAGTTCATATCGCTGTCCCCTCATTACGTGTCCCAGATATTGTAACTTTCTTATTTTTATTGTGTTTATTATTTCGCGTTCTTTGCCCATTTCTCGCAATACTTCCGTGTTAGTTTTCTTCTGTGTTCATGCTTCAATGTCCAGCTTTCAAGTCCATATTGCAGTATCGAAAACACGTAGCATCTCAGTGCTCTCACTCTCAGTTTTAATCTAAGATCTTTGTTGCAGAGAATTGTTTTTATTTTTATAAACGCATTTTTTGCTATTTCTATCCTAGTGTTTATTTCGGTTGTTTGATCATTATTGTCTGAAATTCAGGTTTCTAGGTATTTGTATTTATCAACCCTTTCTATCGGTACACTTCCCAAATGAATGTTTGTTGGTATATTTGTTTTCTTTGTTATTATCATGTATTTGGTCTCTTTTATATTCATTTTTAGTCCATATTTTTCACAGAAACTGTTTGTTTTGTTTAGCAGTAATTGGAGTTGTTCAGCAGAGCTTGCCATAATCACGGTGTCATCTGCATATCTTTTGTTGTTAATAGATCTTCTGTTAATTAGTATTCCTTCACTTTGAGATAGTAATGCTTCTTCAAAAATGGCTTCACTGTATACATTAAATAGTAATGGGGACATAATACATCCCTGCCTTACTCCTCTCCTGATTTCAATTTCTGGACTGGGTTCGTTATCTATTACGATTTGTGCTCTTTGATTCCAGTAGAGATTTGTTATTATTCGTAAGTCCCTATGGTCTATGTTTTTTGTCTTTAGAATTTGGACTAGTTTTTCATGTCTTACTTTCCACTGTCTAGTTTTTGTATTTTTGTGCCATCATAGCCGGAGTAAACCTAGGCTTTTCAGCTGGTGTCTCTAGCAGTTTGTTATCGACAATTCCCAGACGAACTGTTCTTTCTGAAACGCAAACTTCTTTATCTTTTATCTCCTGGGTAAGCATTCACAGTGGTTTTTTCTATTTTCTAGACAAGTATCTCTACTTTGCGATCAGTTCTAGGAGTAGTCACGATGTCCTCCTCTGTGACCCTTTCGTTTTGGATCCAAACTGACCCCAGACGCAATTTTCTGTTTTATATTCCTTACAGAACTTTTTAATACTCCTACCATTGCTGCTATTTCATTTTGAGACATTTGATCATCTTTTAGGAGTCCATATATCTGACCTCGTGTTTTTGGTGACAAATTAGCGTTTTTCGCATCTAAAAATGTATAATACTATTAATTATACCAATAACAGCACTGTATATGTTTATAACCTAAAAAATAATAATGAAACAGGATAAAACACTCACCTCTGCAATAAAATTTCAGGTCACAACCGTTTAAAACTTGTATCCACACACAGTATATGAGGTTATATACCTAATAAAAATAATGAGTGGCAAGTAGCCAAACGTAGAATTCGTCGTTTTGTGGTGGGCCGAAATGAAAATACTTCCCAGGTTCAAGCAGTTCCAAAATTTATATCATTTCATGTCACTAGGCTTACTCCAGGAACTAAACCTGGGCAACTGACGGCCTTTTTGGAGCCAAATTTTCCAGTCGTAAAGTGTGAAGAGCATTCATCATCCCACCCGGAATATTATGCCTCAATGAAAGTTACCATCAGACAAGACGATTGTAGAGAAGCATGGAAACGAGAGGCTTGGCCAAATGGAGCAGTAGTCTCGAGGTTTTTCATGAAAAAGAGGATGCCACCAATATAGGAGGATCCTCAGTCATTAAGTGCAATATCATCCATCAAAATGCTCAATCAGTGGGAAATTGTATGGATACTATCCAAGAAGAAATCTTACAACACAAAGAGTGCATCGCAGTTTGTTTAAGTGAACATTGGATATCCAATACCCAATTACAAAATCACAATTTTATGGGTTTCAAATTAGTTTCTGCTTTCTGTAGAGATGAAGGCGAACATGGGGGCACAGCAATCTATATAAAAGAAAGCTTATCGTGGAGGATAAGAAAAGATATAAATGCTAAGGCAAAAACATATGTTTTTGAATGTTCATGTGTAGAAGTGTGTTTTTTAAATTCAAAATTTTAATTCTTTGTATATATCGTACTCCAAAGTCTTGTGTGCAGGAATTTTTAGATATTCTAGAAAATGTTTTAATGTATATTTCAGGTGAGAGCTCTCTAGTTTTTATTGCAGGTGATTTTAATATAGATTTGAGGAGTCAAACTAAAGATATAACAGACTTTCTCTATTTATTACAAACATTTAATATATTGCCATCAGTTTCTGAATATACTCGCATATGTAGAGCTACAAAGACAGGCATTGATAATATTTTTACAAACTGTGAACTTTATATAGCAGAAGTATTAGATACTCATATTTCTGATCATCTTGGTCAAAAAATAACTTTCAGTATTTTGAAAAGGTTTTTGAAACAGTCATGTGTGTCAGGCTTCTCAGTTTTTTCTATAGTGAGGGACTGTTATGCCATGCACAACATGGGTACCTTAAGGGAAAATCTATAGAGACTGCTATTTATGATTTTATAACAAAGATAAATGAGGGTTATGAAAACAAAGATATATCCATGGGCATATTTTTAGATTTATCGAAAGCATTTGATACTTTAAATCACAAAATACTAATGGAAAAGCTTTACAGATATGGTATTAGAGGGCCAGGTTATAATTGGATAAAATCATACCTATCAAACAGAAAACAGAAAGTAAAATTTGAGTATGAGGGAAGACATTGCTTCTCTGATGAAGGTCTTATTTCGGTGGGAATTCCTCAGGGAAGTATTATGGGTCCTCTTCTCTTTGTTTTTTATGTAAATGATTTAGCTTTAGACATAACAGATAACAATCAGAATACTCTTATTGTGAAATTTGCCGATGATACTAACATTTTAACTATAGGGTCATCCTTGAATAATTTATTGAATATCGCTAATAATAGATTAGATAAAGCACAGAGATGGCTCAATATGAATAAACTCATACTGAACAGAGAAAAAACAAATTATATATGTTTTGTCACTAAAACAAATAATAGTACCTTACCAGAAACTGTTTCAATTCAATCGCAAATGGTTACTCTAAACCAAAGCACAAAATTTCTGGGGGTACATATTGACCAAAATTTAGATTTTGGAGTGCATATAAATGAGATCTGTAACAGGTTAGCATCTATCTGCTACTCTTTCAGAATAACAGCAAATTATTTGGACGAAAAATGTAAACGAGTTGTATATTTTTCAAATTTTCATTCTGTAATGCGATTTGGAATAGTTTTCTGGGGGGGACGTGGTAACGCTGAACAGGTTTTTATATTACAAAAAAGAGCAATCAGAACTCTACTTAACTTGAGATACAGAGATTCATGTAGAGGTAATTTCAAAAAGCTAAACATACTAACAATGGCTGGAACATACATATATGAATGCTTACTTTTCATTTTTAAAAATAGACATAAATTCTTGAAACACATAACAAACCATAATACTAATACACGAAACAATCTCATAAACTATAATATACCAATACATAGACTAACAGCATCTGAGAAAACCACAGAATATGCCTGTATTAAATTCTTTAATAAACTGCCTTACAGCATCAAAATAGAAACTGACATAAATAAATATAGAAAGTCTGTTCAACAATTGCTCATACACCTTGAACCATACAAAGTGGAAGAATACCTTCAAGCTGACCTGTAGGCAGACTAAGGGCTCTTACCTGAATCTAAATGTCACTGTTATTATCATTATGTTTTAATATTACTTTTATGTTAAGTGTAGGTTGTTACAGCAACCATTATAAATTGTAACTGACACCATTCTCTCTATTGACAATTTATATTTGTATGTAACTTGTGAATCCTGAGAATAAAGCTTTTTTCTATTCTATTCTATTCTATAAAATGCACACGAGTTGACAGGACGCTAAATGTTGCTATGTAAAAAAAATAACATTCCTCGTGATAAAAATTATTAATTTTTAATAAATGCAAATTTTCAATGCTTGGCCTAATAATTTGCCCAGGTACTATATGTTCAGTTATCCATTTTTTTGACACTTGCCATATCGGTTAGGGGATCTATAAATGCTAACAAATCTCGATAATCTTTTCGTGATAGTTCTACTTATCCTAATATACAAGAAAAAAGATGCAGTGAAGAACAAACAGATGTTGAGTCCTTAATAAAATTTTCGAACATTTACAAACGTCTATTTGTCTCATACTCATTAGAAATTATTACACCATTTAAAAATATTTTTATATTTCAGATGTGAAAAGGCATTTGCTACTGAAGAACATCTAAAAGTGCATATTGAAGAAGAGCACATCAACAAACCTTATGTTTGCACTGTGTGCAATAAGCCATTCAGCAGAGGTGAACATTTAATCAGACATCTAAAAGTCCACCAAAGCTCTACAGATAAAGATGCCAATTTGAAGTGTTCTATTTGTGAAACAACATTTACAAGGTAATTCCTAATTATTGTGTAACCATTAAACGACCCATCGAAGTGGGTGCCAATGAGTAACGATATAACTAAATACATTAAAAATTACAAAAAATGTCACAATATCCTAAGTAGGCTACAATGTCATAAGGTTTCGTTTATAAAAATAGATCGAAAAATAAAGCTAGGAGCAACAGTCTTGTTTGACTTTCTAAGAAATGATAGTAATGTAAAAAAAATGTTTTATAAAATATTTTTTATTTGTTGAAAATAAGAAAACATTGACAAAAATTTATTTTTTATTATTAATAAAATCCACTGATATGGTTGTGTATAAATGTTTCAAATATTATTCGAAGGAAAACAACTTAAGAGCTCTCTGGTATAACTTTTGTAAAATCAAGCAAATCTCAAAAAATAGAAATTTCCATAAAAATGGAGGCAACAAATTGTTATCAAAAAAATATCTTTCGTGAAATCATGACAGAATAGAATAACCAACCCTGAATCATATTGTCATTCATACAGAAAATAAAAAAAAGCAAATAAAAACGTTTAATTTAAGTTTAAATAAAAGAACCTAAAAATAGGTATGGGTTAATTTATTATATATTAATATCAAAAACAAATCTTTTCTCAAATCAAATCTCAAAATATGGTAACGCTTGGCCATATTTGGAAAATTTATCTATAATCGTTTAAAATCTTTGATTGCCAACTTTATAAGTGTCTATATATATATTATCTCAAAAGGCTTGGAGGGTGTGTGTGGTTAATATTAAAGGTTCTTTATGTGGATTTCTATTATATTTTGATCTCTGGTATATTTCTCTATTTATATATTTTTCTATATTATTTTTCATTGATTTCCAGTAATAATTTATTTCTAAAGCTCTAACAGTCTCTGAAATTTCTGGATGATTCGTTTTCCGTCCTACTTATAGTTTTTATAGTTGATTTCTTTCTTCTGGTAATACATTTGTTAACTAATTTTGTACATTCAATTAATTTTAATTTTGTAAAATATTTACGCAATACATCCTGAAATTTTGGTCAGAATTCTTGAGATAAAAAATAAATGAATAAATTATTTTTGATTGAATTTTCTTTTAAGAATTGGGTCACACTTTCTTCGTCAGCTGAAATAGTAGCTCTTATTATTTTATGTCCTTCAAAATTCTCGCATTCGCGTTTTAAATAATTTGCAAAATTCGCTCTTTTAACGATAAGTAGATAGACTTTATTGTTTTTAATTTCATCTTACAATGAGAACCTATTTTCATTTGAACATTCAGCACTATGGGCTGGGTCTGTGTCTCAGTTATCCATCTCAACGTTTTCATTGTTCTTATTTCCTGTTGATATAATTTTATTTACTTGTGGGTTTTTTGTAACCTCATTGTTATCGAGAATTTGCAAAGTTTCATTTATTACATTCTCATCAACTATGTCTGGGTTAATCAAAATCTATGTCACCGGGATTATTTATATTTGATTCTGTTTCAATTGCATTAATATTTAGTCGACTTAGAGAATCGGCAATATTCGTTTTACCGGGTTTATATTTTATAGTATAGTTAAATTCTTCCAATTTTAATCTTCATCGTAATAATTTGGAGTTCTTCTTCTTCTTCAAGTGCCGTCTTCGTTCCGAAGTTTGGCTATCATCAAAGCTATGCGTATTTTTGATGCTGCAGATCTAAACAGTTGGTAATTGGTGCAATTGTACCATTCTCTCAAGTTTTTCAACCATGAATGCCTTCTTCTTCCTATAGATCTCTTTCCCATTATCTTTCCCTGTATAATCAATTGCAGCAACTGGTATTTATCTCCCCTCATAACATGTCCCAAATATTGTAGTTTGCGCTTTTTAACAGTAAGTATCAGCTCTTTCTCTTTCCGCACTCTCCGCAAAACCTCCACATTTGTTACTTTCTCTGTCCAGGGTATTCTTAATATTCTACGATACATCCACAACTCAAATGCTTCTATCTTTTTGGTATCGATCTTTTTCAATGTCCATGTTTCCATCCCGTAGAGGAGAACTGACATAACGTAACATCTCAAAAGGCGAATTTTAAGTTTTAGACTTAGATCTCTTCCGCAGAACACCTTTTTCAATTTAGTAAATGTGGCTCTAGCTTTCTCTATTCTGGTTCTGATTTCTTCAGAGCAATCATTATTTTCGTTGATAACAGTTCCCAGGTAATTATATCTTCTTACACGTTCGATTCTTTGATCATGCACGGTTATGTCAGGGAAGTTTTGTGGTGATTTAGATATTAGCATTATTTTTGTTTTGCTTATGTTAAGTGATAATCCGTGTTCTTCACTGCATTCTACTATTTTGTTAATTAGTATTTGAAGATCTTCCCAAGTTTCTGCGATTAGTACCGTGTCATCGGCATATCTCAAGTTGTTTATTCGGATGCCATTTATCTTAATACCTATATTTTGATCCGAAAGTGCTGTGTTTATAATGTCTTCGGAGTATAGATTGAATAAGGTCGGTGAGAGTATACAACCCTGTCTTACGCCTTTCTTGATCTCGATTTCCTCCGTTGTCTCTTGCTCTATTCGGATATTTGCTTTCTGGTTATAGTAAATCTTAGAGATAATTCTAATGTCCCTTTTATCCAAGTTTTTTTCTATTAGCAGTTTCATTAAGTGATCGTGACGAACTTGGAATTTGGAACTTGAATTTGGAGTTGGATTCCTTTAAATTAAATAACCATATTAGGAGTCTATGGTCGCATAAAATTTCAAAAGATCTGCCGTACAAATAAGGTCTAAATGTTTTACAAGCCCATATAATTGCTAAAAGTTTTTTTTCTATCGTAGCATATTTTTGCTCTCTTTGATTAATAATTCTTGAGGCATACGCTATGGATAAATCATTTAGGACTTTTCCCTGTGACAAAATTGCACCTAAGGCTATATTTGAAGCGTCTGTAGTTAATATAAATGGTTTTGAAAAATATGAGTATTTTAAAATAGGGGCATTAATTAAAAGTTCTTTAAGATGATTAAACGATTTTTTTAATTCTGGAGTGTGTATAACTTTTGCATGTTTCTTAACACATAGTTAAAGGTTCAGCTACTTTGGCGAAATTTTGGATGAATCTTCTATAATATCCTGCTAATCCTAAAAATGACTTGAGGAATAGGAAAGTTTTTGGCTGCATTTATTTTATCTGGATTTGGTCGTACTTGTTTTTTTGTTATAACATGGCCTAAATATGCCACTTCTGTACGTAAAAATTCTGATTTATCTAGCTGTATTTTTAAATTAGATTTTGTCATTCTTTCAAAATTGCTTTCAGTCTTTTAACATGTTCTTCAATGGTAAGGAAAAAACAATTACGTCATCTAAATATATGTAGCAGATTTCGTTCTGATATCCTCTTAACACATTATTCATAACTTTTTGAAAAGTAGCTGGGGCATTTTCAATCCAAACGGCATACGTAAAAATTCATAATGTCCTCTCTGTGGAAAATGCTGTTTTCGGTATATCGGCTGGTTCCATTTCTATCTGGTGGAAACCGTTTGCTAAATCTAAAGTAGTAAAATATTGAGCTTTTCCTAGACCATCTAGAATATTATCTATTAATGGCAAGGGAAATTTATTTTCTATTGTATTTTCATTTAGTTTGCGGTAATCTATAACTATTCTATATTTCTTGTGGCTACTCGCGTCCATTTTCTTATCTATGACCCAGATCGGTGAATTAAAAGGCGAGTTTGAATCTAGTATTATTTCATTTTTTAACATATCATTTATTTGTCTTCTAACTTCTTTTTTATAAACTTCCGGGTATCTATAATTCGTTGTGTAAACCGGAGTATCACTAACTAAATCTATTTTATGCTTTATTTCATTCGTAAAACTGAGGGGTTTTCCGTCTATATAAAAAATATATCTATATTCATAACATAATTTACTTATAGCTTCGTATTCTTCTTGGTTACAATGATGAAGTTCTTGAGATTCTTGAAAAGTTTCTTGAGATTTTTTTTTGTAGATAATCTATTTTTTCTTCTTTTATGTCCATCTCCTCAATATGATATGACTGAATATTATTTAAATTTTCTTCTAGAATATACTCTAGAATAAACATTAATAGGTTCCGTGAATTTTATTTCCGCCGGAGGTTCTCCTAGGTTACTTATCATAGTAAATGCGTAGTAATTATGTAATGTTGTAAATATGTATGCATTTCCGATTTTTGTATAATTTAGTATTGCTGTACCAGATCTCCAGATCTTCTGTTAACTGGGACTTTAACTTTTTGAGCAGTTCTTGGTGCTATTATTAATTTACTATATTTAAAATATTTTTGTTTCGTTGGATCTTGTGATGTAAAAAATATAGGAATAGAAATAATTGGGGTCTTTAGTTTTGAATCTTTAAAATCAATAATAGCATTGATTTGTGATAAAAAGTTGCATCCTAGCAATCCGTCAAAATTAGGAGAGAAATCGAAAAGATAAAATTTATGACAATTTGGATTTTTGAAAGTAGGGAATATTGGAATGGTCATAGTTTCCTTATAAATTGAAGTAGCGTGTGCAGTATGCACAGCAAATTTATCATATTGTTTAATAGCATTAAAATTTATGTGACTGTTCTTGTTGAGGCCTGAACTGGAAAATTTTCATCATTATTTCTTTAATTTTCATTGTACCTTCTTAAATTATTATTATTATATGTTCTTTCAATATCATTATATCTTTTTTCTCTTCCATTATTACTAGTTATTTTATGATAAAATAAATTATTTGGAAAACGTCATCATTTCTAAAGCTACTTCATAAACTAAAGTTATTTGAACTTGTATCCATTGGCTCAGGTCGCATTGAATATCTGCTTTGATTTTGGGTATGAATAGATGGCTGATATCTAGGTATATTTGGAAATTGTCTTTGAAATTATTATTATGAAAACCATTGTTCGAAAATCTTGGACGATTTTGAAAATTATTATTGAGATTTCTGAAAAAATTATTTTTTCTGTATTGACTAGAACTTTGAGAACAATGCCGATTTTGAAAATTATTATAATTCAAAAAATTCTGATTTCGAGAAAAATTATTTCTATTTGGAAATGAAAGAGTGTTCTGAATTATTATTTGAATTTCTATTAGAATTATTATAGGATCGAGAATTATTAAAATTTGAGGATCTCGTATTATTACTTCGATTTTTGTAAGAAATAAAATTTTCTTTGGCGAAAGCTATTGCTTGCTCTATGGAATCAGGTTTCTTTAATTTGACTACTAACTGCATGTGATAGTTAAGGCCATTTATAAAAGTTTTAAGACGAAGATCTTCATATTGTTGAGTTTTTAATATTTTTACATTTAATTGGTCATTAGACATATTTATTTTTGAACAATCAATACTTCGAGTATCCTGGATTCTTAAACGAAAATTCTGGTTTCATTGAAATTATATCTTGCATTAAACAATCAATTGATCTCTGGTCAGAAAATTATACTATAAGAGAATCTTTAACTTTTGCCCAAGAATCAAGTTCTGTTCTTGATTCAATAAGGTCTGCTGCTCTGTCAGTTAATTTACCGGACGGAATTTAACGGAAAACAGTATCAAAAAGACGAAACATTTATAAGATTATTTGCATCTCGATTGCTACGATTAGTCAAAAAAATTTCGCATTGTTTAATAAATCTATTTAATTGTTTTGGATTGCCATCAAAAGTAGGAATATTATCTGCTTGGTATTTAATTAATTGAAATCTGTTGAGTTATTTCGATAAAAGTTAAATTTACTAAATGATCTAAAATGTAATCCACAGTGAATGAAAAAATTTATAAGTTATAGGTAAAATACGGATTTTGGTAAAATAGGAAACACTTACATGAATATTTTCATTTTCTATAGAGTATTTTTTTTCTTCCGCCTGCACCAATAGGATTCTGGACGATGCTTTTCCTTTTTCCTAGTCTTTGCTTCTCCAATGGGTTGTGGAGAATGTTTGTTCGTAGCCTTGGACGTTTGGCTGTTACCGTACCCGAAATGTGGATTTTTTTCGTTAATCTTTAAAAAGAAAAATTGCACACGAAATTCAGCAAGGTTAACACGAACACTGTACAATTTCGAAAATTCCGAATGACCGCGACAGTTACGAATGACGTTTACTTGAAAACACTATAAAACTTTGAAAAATACTACTGACTGCGACAGTTACGAAAGTCAAAGCCGAAAACGGGTTTTAAAAAATTATTTTCGTAACAAAATTTATTTATTAGGAACGTACAAGTATGGTAACAACTACAAAACAAAAAGCTCTTACTCTAATTAAACACTGGTATACATAGTCTTTCTGTATGTCGTCACACATTAGACAATCCAGGGACGCAACTCTAGCTGTTGAAAACATTTGAAAAAGTTAAATAACGTGAAAAATGTTAAATCATAATAATATGATCCTTTATATTATGTCGGGTGTTCCATAAAAAAATAAGAAAATTGATGGCGACTTCTGGTATTACCGGAAGTAATAGCGAGCTGTCATTATTTTAGACGTGTTGGGTGACAGTTATGCCGAAATAGAAATTGTCAACTTTCATATCTGATTATTTTTAGAGATAAATCTAATGTATGGTCTAAGCGAAACACGTTGATAATGAGGACTTGCAAATAACTGATTTCATAAAATATTAAGTTAGTTTATATTTAATAAACTTGATTGAGAGGAACAAATTATATATGTTTATAAACAAATTTCTCCAGCACTAGACATATTTGGACTACCTGCAAAATATTTCTATTTAGTACTAAGAAAACTGCTCAATCCTTAATGCGTAGCCACTCAGTTAACTTACACTACAATCAAATATCACAATAAAATTGTAGAAAGTGACTTATGTTTTAATTATTTTTTGTAGGCCGGTAACTGGCAACAACGCCATTGTTCGGGTAGCGATTTTCTTTTCTGTTATCTGTACATCGGTTTCATAAGCGCAGTGACAGGGGTTTCATAAAGCACATATAAGTAAGCGGATTTGTGTAATTTTAATATAATATTTCTGAGATCATTGTGACGGTCAGTTACTGCGGTTTTTACGATATATTTTGGCAATATATTATTCAATATACATATTTTGATTGTAGGTCAGATCACCTGGCGCGTCATACCAAGATCCACTTACTCCAGGATAAACGTCATGTATGCGGCGAATGCGGCAAGGCCTTCAACCGTCTCGATAATCTCAAGACTCACCAGAGGATTCACACGGGAGAAAAGGATACGTCCAAGCTGCATCTGTGTATCTACTGCGGAAAGGAATTCAATAATTCCAGTAACATGGTAAGTGGTTGATATAAATTTCGGTTTATGTTAACTACTTAACCGTGTTGCTCGTATTATTGTCTAACTTTGAACATTTAACAAAGAAGACGAAGTTATGGGCAGAATTTGTCCTGTTTGATGGCAATACGTTTTAATATCATAGTAGTATTTAACAAAGTAATTTAATAGTTGATGTGTGCAATAAGATTGTTGAAAGGCGAGAGCAAGTTGCTAAGAAACTGCTACTTTCGGAATTAGATTATGTCATTTTGGGTTTTTGTAGATTCAAAACGATATAATCTAATTGTGTAGTAGCAGATTTCTGAGAAGAATATTGTAGGATGAAAGATCAAATCCCAAAGATAATACTCGGAAATATGTATGACATGGGAGAAGTTGAGTTAATACTTCTACACAAAAAATATCTACATCAATCAAATTAAATCTTTACAGCGAAGTAATTTTTCAAGAGGTTGTATCCTAAGTAGTGGAAGGTATTGTGGTCAACGAAGTAACATGAATAAAATTAAATATGTTGATGATAGGGCACCTTTTTATCCTGAATTTAAGAAATCTATTCCCAAGGTATAAATAAATAAATCGTTAACAGCATAAGGATACAAAAGAGAAATCGCTGTATTAAACATCTTCATGATTCCACAGGAAAATCACTATGGCATCATCGCTAAAATTATAAAACGGTTTATCAAGGAAATTGGAGTGTGAGCTTCGGCAGGAAAGGAGAAAAACATTACCAAGGGGACGTAAACATGCGATATTCTTGTAAGAAAAACCACCCGATAACAAAATCTAATTTTAGAGTTTGTATTTATATGAATAATGAGGTTATATCTTCTAGGAATCTTCTATAAGAAAGAACAGGATGAACGACGAGATATTGAAAGCAGGAATCAAAGAACTTCAGAATAATTACGATTTGTTCATAACTGACTGTATAAAAAGTTAAATATGGCAGGGTTACACCAACGTATTTTGCCACTTTTGAACAAGAATGGGAACAACTTAATTGAGACAGGAAAAACTAAAACCCTGAACAGTATATATATCGAAGAGCTGTTCCAAAGTAAAAGAGGAAAAATAGATCACTTATCGTTCGAAGAAAGAGAAAGATGCAGAAGTTATAAAGGAAGAAGTACTCCATAAGCTAAAGACCACTCAAAATGGGAAAAGTCCTGGGCCAGACGAACTACCTGTTGATATTTTTTAAATAATAGAAACGAAACGCACGGACCTTTTGGTAAAGTTTTTCAATGCGATTTATCAATCAGGAGATATACCAAGGAATGGTTCTAAATGCAGCTAAATGTTCCTAAAGATCGTTTACAAATGTATATATTGTAACGATTCAAAAAATCTAATGAAATTTTAATTCACGCATTTGAAATTCCATTTGATTCAGAATGCAGTATAAACGTCAGTTTTTTTATCATAAACATTTTCATTCCGAAAGAGAATGCCTACTCTACGTGTTTATTTGTACAAGATTTTCTTTTTTCCTATTTGTACAAGATTTAATTGCAGCATCTGTGTCCTCTTTAAAAGTTTTCTCTATAAGAACCGTATTTTAATTTTGAACGCGAAAACGAACTTAGTTTTCTTTATAATAAAGATCATGAGATTGAGGGCAGTGAGGATTTTTACCAGCGAAAAATGATCTATTCATGAGAATTGAAGGATTCGGTTACCGGATTTTAAAGGAGGAGGTTGAATTCAAGAGCGTATCGTCTTTGATGGTGATAAGTCGGCAACAGAACTTTTTTTGAAATCGTAGGCTTCCACGGCCAGAGTCAGAATTATAGTTTATTCGTCTTCCGGGTTTGGACCGTGTCATTTGTGAGTGACCCAAAAGTGGGTTCATCTCGACGTTTCGCTACAATTGTATGTAGCTTCTTCAGGAGAACAAAGAAAAGAAAAAAGAAAACAAAAGAACAGGAAGATGGGTAGTTAGCAACGGTAACTCAGTTACTCAACGCAACCAGAGGCGAATACTAACTACCAAGATGGGCATTTGGTCACAGTAACTCAACTACTCAACGCAGCCAGAGGTGAAAACCAAATGCCAGGACAGGGATTCACGTCCAACAGCTCAGAACACTAACGCGTCGAGAGGCGGGGAGTGAATCCGACGATTACTCCGCTACCGCTCTATTTATAGTCGCGGTGCCTGTCGTGTCGGGACGTATCGGCACACTTCGTGGCGCGAACGTCAAGAAGCGCGCGCTGGCCAATCATGTGGTGGCGGGACCGGACGGTGGCTCTAGACTGAGATTCCAGATGGGAGACAAGTAGTATCCTTCCTCTCGATTGATATTATGGGGATTTTTTCGGATCTCTAGAGATTCGCGGATTTTCCTGGAATAAAAGAAGGGGCTCTTAGAAATAATATGGGTTTTTTCGAACAATATGGAATGACCGGTTTCTTGGCAGTGTTCGGCAACTGCAGAATGGGAGAAAAGACCTGATCGAATGCATCTTTGATGCTCTTGAATCCGAGTTTTGACGGAACGACCAGTTTCGCCAATATACACATGTCCACATGAACAAGGAATAGAATAGACACCACAGGAAGATAGGGGCGGTAATGGGTCCTTAGGAGAGGGTAGATATTGTGAGATTTTCTTGGGTGGTCGAAAAGTAGTCCTGATACCTTCTTTGCGAAGAATTTTGCCAATCCTATCAGTGACATTTCGAATATACGGAAGAAAAGCCACAGGAGTATTACCCGAAGATTCTGAATTTGTTGTCCTAGGGTGTAAAGGGGATGTAGATGTCGGTGTGTAATATTTTGAATTGTGGACTTGGAGTAACCATTGGCGACAAGGGTTTTTTGCAGATGGCCAAGTTCTTCTCTAAGGTTGTCGGGTTCAGAAATCGAAATGGCCCGATGGATGAGAGAGTTGATCACAGAATTCTTTTGGCAGGATGGTGGTGTGATGAAGCATGTAGGTAACGATTCGTGTGAGTCTTTTTTCTATAAACAGAGTGACCCAATCGGCCATTGGGCTTGGAGGTGACTAACACATCGAGAAAGGGAAGGGACCGATTATTTTCTACTTCCATTGTGAATTTTATACTCGGATGTTGTGAGTTAAGATGATCTAGGAAGGAGAAAGGGTATGTTGACCATGGGGCCAGATGATAAATGTATCATCAACGTAGCGGAACCAGACTTTTGGTTTTAAGGGTAAGATTCTAGGGCTAAAGACTCAAAGGCTTCCATGAAAATGTCAGCAATGACAGGGAAAGGGGAGAACCCATTGGTGTTCCAGATATTTGTTTGTAGAAATTGCCTCTAAAAGAAAAATATGTTGAAAGGAGGCATTTTTCGGCAAGATCTGCCAAAACCAAAGACTTGTTATCATTGGTCAAGTGATCTCGCAGAACAACTAGAGAGTCATGTATGGGATATTGGTAAATAGGGATGATACATCGAAACTGACGAGAATATCTTGGGGATCGACTGTGAGAGAGGAGATTAAGGTGATGAAATGTGTGGAATTTCGGACATAAGAAGAGGTACGACCAGTATAGGTCTTAAACTGATTCGACAAGTACTTTGCGAGTTTGTAGGTAGGAGAGTTAATCGTAGTCACAATGGACGAAGAGGTACGTTATCTTTATGGATTTTCGGAAGACCATAAATTCTGGGCAGATGGAGTTTTTTGGAACTATGGACTTCTTAACATCATCGGAAAGATCGGATTGTTTGATGGCATGGGAAATTTCGCGTTCGACTCTAGGAGTGGGGTCTCGAGAAATTGTATTATAACAGATGTATCCCTAAGTAAGTCGTTTACTTTCTCTATGTAGGAAGGAGTATCCAGGATGACTGTGGCATTACCTTTGTCTGCAGGAAGGATTATTATCTCAGAAAGAGAACGGAGATTTTTGAGAGCTATGAATTCCTCACGAGATATATTGGAAGTAGGGATTTTGGCTGTATCAAGACATTTAGCGACGTCAAAGCGGATACGGTCGGCTGGAATTTTGGGAATTGTGCGGAGTGCCGCTTCCACATTTGAAACTATTTCTTCGGTAGGAATTCTGGAAGGAGTGATAGCAAAATTAAGACCTTTAGATAGAAGACTGCTTTCTGCACTTGTTAATTGGTGAGAAGAAAGATTAACGACGGTGTTAATGAGAGGTGAATGAGAAGTAGAAGTGGTGGAATGTGATTTTTTCTTAGATACAAGGGATTGGAATTTCTTTTTGTGAGTTTCGTTGCTTAGAAGAAGGATTTTATCGGCTTGATGATAGGAAATGCGGTCTAAAAGTGACCAATCATCGACACTAAGAATACTGGAGAGTTCAAGATGCAGCTTAAAAAGTTTTTGGGATTGAAAATTAAGGGTTTTTCGAATATGTTGAATCCGTTCACGAAGTAGAGATAGGCTGGCTCGATGTAGAATTCGGGAAGAAGATGAAGAGGAAATGTGATGTTTTAGAACAAGAAAATTGGGAACCAAGTTATTATCACGACATCTAGAGAGGAAGGTGAGCGAAGAAAGTAGAGATGAAACTTTAGAGCGAAGATTGGAGAACTCTGAGGTTTTGCGGAATATAACCTCCCCGTAGAGGTTGGTCAAATGAAATCGTAGGCTTCCACGGCCAGAGTCAGAATTATAGTTTATTCGTCTTCCGGGTTTGGACCGTGTCATTTGTGAGTGACCCAAAAGTGGGTTCATCTCGACGTTTCGCTACAATTATATGTAGCTTCTTCAGGAGAAACAAAGAAAAAGAAAAAAGAAAACAAAAGAACAGGAAGATGGGTAGTTAGCAACGGTAACTCAGTTACTCAACGCAACCAGAGGCGAATACTAACTACCAAGATGGGCATTTGGTCACAGTAACTCAACTACTCAACGCAGCCAGAGGTGAAAACCAAATGCCAGGACAGGGATTCACGTCCAACAGCTCAGAACACTAACGCGTCGAGAGGCGGGGATTCACTCCCCGCCTCTCGACGCGTTAGTGTTCTGAGCTGTTGGACGTGAATC